AGGAGAGTAAGGAGGAGGAGGAGAGTAAGGAGGAGGAGGAGAGTAAGGAGGAGGAGGAGAGTAAGGAGGAGGAGGAGAGTAAGGAGGAGGAGGAGGGTGAGAAGGAGGAAGCCCAGAGCAGTGCGAGCGAAGGGGCAGGGACGGACACACAGACCAAGGAACAACAAAGACAACATCTCTTCATCCAGTGGCTGTTTGACATTAGCCTGCTCCGATGCGCCGTGGCCGAACCCGGTAGCTCAGAGGGCGGAGATGATCAGTTCGGGAGGTTGGAGGATCAGGTTTATGAGCACACCGGTCTCGACTCCAAAGCTCGGGAGCGGATGGCAAAGTCGGCTCGTGAAGTCTGGGAAAGGACGAATCTGTTGTTTGGCCTGTTGGCTTGAGGCCTTCGATGGCATTCCTTACGCCAACCACCCCTAGCATCTACATCTATCTATACACGCTCACAGCTTATGCCTCTTCTCCCCGCTCGCAATCTTCCTAAACTCCTCCTGCGGCACCCCCTTCATAAACCTCTCCAACCCAGCAAACACCTCCTTCACATTCTGCCTCTCGAGGATCTCCACCTCCGGCGCGCGGATAAGCGCCTTGATCCCCGTCAAGCTCTCCCCAATAAGATGGGGCCCCAACCGCTCGTCCACCTCCCGCAGCACCAAGTCCCTAAACTTGGCGTCCTCCCCAGGCCCCTTCCCCACGGACTCGAACACCCTGTTCACGAACCCCGTAGCCAGGAGGTCCTCGACGGGGATGCGGCGGCTCATCAGCAGGGCCTCGTTGGCCTTGCTGATGCCCAGGCGCTGGACGAGGGCGCGGCTCGCCCCTCCCTCGGTGACGAGACCGAGACTCGAAAACGGGGTCAGGAGGAAGGTGTGGGGCGTGGCGTAGACGAAGTCGGCGAAGGCGGCCAGGGCGGCGGAGAGGCCGATGGCGGGGCCGTTGAGGGCGGCGACGAGGATCTTGGGGTGCGTGGCGAAGGCTTGGGTTACGTTGAGGTTGAAGGCGGCGAAGTTGTGGAGCCAGTGTTTGTGGGTTTCTCTTGGGGTTGCGGTGGTGGGGGGCCCGGAGGAGATGATGGAGACGTCGGCGCCGCTGGGGTTGTCAGCGTGGTCCTGGTGTGCAGTGGGTGGAGGGAGGGGGAGGGGGAGAGACTCACGCGGAAAAGTAACGGCCCTTGCCAATGAGAACGGTAATGTAAACCTCGTCATGGGTGGCTACCTCGCGGAGTTTCTGGGCTAGGTCGTAGTACTGGAGCTGCGTGAAGGCGTTCAACTTTTTGTCATTGTCGATGGTGAGGATGGCGACACGACCGCGGTATTCGACGTGGATGATGTTGGGGTCGGCGGCGGCCATGGCTGTGGCTGTGGCTGTGGTTGTCGGTTAATGTCCCGTGTTCTGTAATTGTGTTCTACGTTCTGTGTTCTAGTATCGAACGGAATGCGATGTGGTGTGGTATAGAAGCTATAAGCTATAAACTACGTATAAACAGATGTAAATAGAGAGTCTGGTGATAACCATGTGGTCCATGTCCAGACCGAGAAGCCGCGGTAAGGTGACATTGCAGGTAACGATAAAGCCGATACGCGGGGGAGCCAAGGCCGGGGGCCGGCAGCCGGCGCTAATGACTCAGTTGGTGCCCTTCCCGGGGCCTCACGTAAGCAATCTCTGGGGCACGACTTATACTTCGTAGGTACGGACTCCGAATAGAGACGTCGGTGCTCTGAAATGTACCTTTACTCAGTGTAGGTACCTACCCGGGTTAGGGGGGGTTATAGACAGTGTATTATTCAGCCTAGCTCTATAATGTCAATTCTAGTCATGTTGCGTACCTGGATATATTATTACTATAATAATTAGGATCTAGGGTGTCTGTATTACTTACTATTTTAGGCCTTTACTATATCGTAACGTTGCCCCTGTCCCTGTGGCTAGTATAGTAATTGCTAAACGGTGATTAGATTAGTTAGCGTTTACGCCTAGACAGTAACGCAGCCCGATAGTCTATCCTATATTAATATTATTTTTTAGTATATCTGTATTATTATTCTAGCGCCGTTGATTTTATAGGTATAATATATAGTCTAACTACCAGGACTTAACTATCTGTTAAAATAGCGTACTAAAGCCTATTCCCCTATCTAGTAAGCTATAGCGTCCAGCGACCTTATACTATCCTAATTAATAGATATTAAAGGCATTATTATTCTAAGAAGCGTTATACTATCGATTTTAAGCTATGCTTTTAAATATTACTTACTAACTGAATTTTTACTACGATTCGGTAGCTATATACCTTAATACACTACGTATCGGATACGACTACTATCGCACGTTAAATAGACACTTGAATAATTAACTTAGTAGAGCAGAAATCTCGTGTGTATGTATTATATCCAGTTATATCTAGGAGAGTCTCTTTTACCCTTAATTTTAGATGGTGAAGACTCTGTTATGGGTACTAAGTCATTTAGATCCTATCCGGTCTTTTCCGGTATCCGCCCCTAGTATATCCGAAGCCCTTAGTTATAGCGTGGATCCCTCCTAGATCCCCTATAGACTACGTCGTGGTCCGTGTGTCTATACGATACACCCCCTTAGTTAAGGTGGGTCTTCTCAGGTTAACTAACTAATTAAAGGCTTCGGTTTAAACTAAACGCTCTTAACTTTTCTATCGTAAAATTAATAGTTAAGGGAAAACGCCCTTATAAAAGAGATCTAAATCCGCCCTATTTAACCGTTTAATTTAATTCTATCTTAATTAGTTCCTCGATCCTGATTAGCCGGATCTACTTAATCGGATCTATATCTATCGGATCCACTACGCCCTTAAGGCCTTCGTAGTCGTTATAGCCGTGGCTTTAGCACGTTTAATCTCTTCGTGTAGTCGTTTAGACTACTCGATACGATCCTTTTAATCTGTTAAATTAAGCTATTACTATAGTCTTTTAATCCCTGCCTCCGGTATTGCCTTCGTTAAACCATCCGCGATTATCTCCTTCGTGTTAACGTACGTAACCTTAAAAGGCCCTGCTATACTAACTAATATACCTACTAGTTATAAATATCGACGTACCGTAGCCTTATTCGTAGACGTTATGCCTTCTTATTAATAAGGTTAATAGTCTATTAATTATCGTAGTATAGCTATAGTTACTATTAGTCTAATCAAAGCTCTAAATCCCTTAATATCCGGCTAACGAATAGCGTCTTTTTAGCTATTTCGGTAAGAGCGAGTAGTTCCGACTCTATTAATAACGTTATTACTATTAGTTACTTACCCGCCTTCTAGTTAATAGTTCCCCCGAAGAGCTTTATCGTATATCCCTATAAACTCTTACGGTCTAGGTTATCCCTAAAGGATGCGTCGCTTACTATTAGGAAGAGCTTATCCCCGCCGAATTCAAGGTAGTAGTATCTTATATAATATAGGAATAGTTAGTACTTATTAAGCCCTTTTAAGGTGGTCGGAGGAGGGGTTAATATTATATTAGGAAAGCTTCGAATAGGCGAACGCGATATCGGGTCTTATCACGATAGCGGTATATAGGATAAAACCGATTATACCCTAGTACTAGCGGACCTCGGGAATTAACGCGTGTATACTATCACGGGGTATTAACGGCTTTATCGTTAATAACAGGACCTTTAATAGTTTTCGGCAGAGTATATCTACGTAGTATTTAACCACGATCTTCTCCATGTAGGAGGATTATAATAGCTAAATCTACGAGTAGCTTTATCCCTAAGCTATAGGACGATACCGTAAATAACCCGCGGGCCTAGATTACTCTCCTATAAGCGCACGTAGGACTAACACCTATAGACCTCTATAAGAAGCCTTAGTCCTATACCGATAATACACTACGCCTATAAAGGCTATACCTAAGGATATAAACGCCTAGGTAGTAAACTAGAAAATAGCGATAATATACTATAAATATATAGGCGTTTTAGAGCTATTAAGCGCGGACTATTAGGTAGAAGACGCGTTAAAAGCTATTAGACCTATTGCCTAGGAATAAAGTAATAACTACCTAGTAAATAACTATAATAAGATTACGGAAAATAAGCTAATAATTAATAACTTCGTAAAGGCTCTAAAGGCGGTTCTTAGTAATAGAAAGAACCTATAATTCTCCGCTATAAAGCCTAGAGTTAGGAGAGGCACCTTTAATACCCTTAGGAACCTCCCCGATACTAAGGATACTATTACTACTAATAATAAAGATAATAAAAAGCTTCCTTATAGCGACACGTCCTTAAAGGCTATCCATCCCGTAATAAGGAGGCCCTATAAGATATACGAAAACACCTATACTACCGCTACCTATTAGTATGTAAGGCCGGATATACGCCCTTATACCTAGCGTGGCCGTGAAGATATTATAAAGGTCGCGGAAAAGAAGATACGTATTTATAGTTTTAAAAGCCGCGTAAACACCGCGATACAGAAAAGACGGGAAGTAGTAGCTACTACTGCTAATAAGATAAAGGAAGCCTAGAAAGATTAACTCTATAATACTACGCCTACTATAGTTTATAAAGACCTGTCCGTTACCGCGACGGGGAGACTAGGAGCCCCCCTAACTTAGGGGGTAGCGCGTCGTTATACGATAACACTATTAAGATTATAATAAGAATAGGGGATATCCCTTTCTATTAATTAAGCCAGAGCGCTATTATACTACGCGATCCTAAACTTAGGATTATTAATCTATATCTTTAATAATTAAGGCCGTTTTACGGCTATTAGACTACCTACGGTTAATTTATTAACGCTTTAGGTGGGTACTTATAAGGCTCCTATCCTCGGATATGGAGACGTTAAGCTATATGTATAATCCTTAGCGGGTATGAAAAGGCTATTACGCCTCCGTGATATCGTATACTATAAGGAATTTATTACTAATATCGTCTCGGAACGCTAGCTACGCCTATAAGGATACCGCTAGAATACCGTAAACGATACTATTATTAGGTCCGCCGATAACCGGCCTATCTATAAGCTACTAAATATCTACGGCTAGTATATAATTAAGTGCGCGGAAGCCACGGCCGTTACCGCGTTCGCGGTCTTAGTAAGGCACCCCCGTAATAACCCGTATAGGAGCTTATAATAACCGCGGTAACCGTAGAAGACTACGGTATAACGGTAGTATAAACGCCTCGGCCACTATAGCACTAATACTCTTATAAAGATCGTTAACGCTATTTAGAGGGTAAGGATAAAGGGACTATATATAACGGACTATAACGCGTGTGGATAATCGTAAGTGCGTACGTAGATCTAGCGGATACTATCCCTTTACCCGTTAAAGCCTAGAGAGGCCCTAGCTATTAATTTTCACGATCTAAAAAAGGCGGAGTAATTAGCGGGCGGACTATATAAGTCTATTATATTCGTTATAGATATGTATATAGGTTATATATAGGATTACTACCTATAGAAAAAAGACTAAGGCTTTATCCGATACACTTTAAAGGACGTTTTTACCCTACTTAAGACCTAATTCGATGTTAGGCCACGTGTTTTACGGGCCGACTCTAAGATATTTTAGCACCTAGAAGTCGTTGCTTTCCTCGCTACTAAGGGGGTAAAAGGCTAGCCGTCGGCACTATATTTATAAGATTAAAATAGCGTTATAGAACGGATTAAAGGTATCGTTAAAAGAAGGGCGAGGGCTATAAGGATTAAAGCTAATCTGCCTATATCTATCTAGCCTAAGATCTTTAAGATTACTATATATCTATATAACAGAACGCTATAATATAGTAATAACTAGCGAACGCTATATAAAGGTCTACACCGCCGTTAACTTAAACTTATACACCTATAAGTATATAGCTATAAAGCCTTAATAAAAACGCGCGATACCTAAGCTAAAAGGAACCGTCTATAAAGGCTAGAACCGAAGGTATAGATTAGTTATTATATCGGATACTAATCCTTAAATAGCTTCCGTATTTAGCTATTATACCTAACGGATATTATTACTATAAGAGATATAGTCTTTAATAAAGACGAGATATTTAATAGTAAAATTAAAACGCTATAAGCTATAGCTTCCGCCGAGGAAATCGGGGAACGCCTATAATCTATCCGTATTACCTAATCTAATAAGACCGCGAATAGGCTATTATTAAGGAGTATAGCCGTAGACGTATTAAATATCGAGTCGGAAGACTCTAATACTACCGCTATTACTACGGGTAAAGGCGACCCTACCGCTATTACTACGGATAAAGGTAAGGCCGTCGCTATTACTATAAAAGAGGCTACTACTATTAATATAGACTATAAAGACGTTACTACTACTTTTTAGTAGCGGGGGGGACTTATCGAACTATTAGCTATATCTACCCTAACGCCTGTATAATACCACCGTGGTACCTAGGCGACTTATATCCTTACACGGATAGCGATTATTAGTATACTAGTAATAGGCCGCGCCTATTCCTATAGTGTTAGCATAGGCTTCTATATTATCGGAGTAAGTGCTTAGACGCTTACTATAACGAATATAACTGCCCTACGTTAGCGCTACGATACTACTCCGACGCCACCGAGGGCTATATACGGTATAACACGAATTATACCGCGCTTATAGCGGCGATTATTACTATTAGTATTATTATTATTGGGAGACGATATCTACGACTATTAGCACGCTACTACCGAGGCACCCCTACGCCACGAAGGGAACTTATATTATATTACTACTTCGGCTTACTCATTTATATATATAATCGCTACTATACTATCTAGTTAACTCCACGCCACCACGCTACCGTAACGCTATCCACGAGGCACCTATAGTTAAAATATAATAGGAATATAATAAGAAAACTAAAGGGGTATACTAGTTAGTATAGGCCGTAACGATATACCTATAAGACTACTAGCAGGAATAGATCGGGGAAAACCTATAACGAACTCGTTAGCGTTATAAGAGGAAGAGGGAGGATTAAGGCACGAAGGCCTTAGGGGATATTAACTATCTAATTCCTATACTAGGGTAGGGCCTTATTCCCCCTACCTGCTGCCGGATATAGCAGGAACCCACCCAGGGGAGGTAGGAGGCGCCTGCCTCCCCTACTCTCTTTATTAACCGAGTAGAAGGAATAAAAGGCATAATCCCCGGGGACGCAGGGAGGCCGAGGCTAAAGGGCCGTGGCCTCCGCACCACGGAGGCGTGGCGGCACCCCCTTAGCCCCTACTCCGCTATTAACGATTAGGTTAGGCTAACCTACCTAACCACTAGCCTGCCACACTTCCTATTAGCTATTAGCCTAAAGGTATGATCCAGATATATAGCAGAGACGAACCGGGGCTATATCGGCCCCGTAGCGGCACTACTCCACCTAAGGAAGTGTATAAGGGTTTTCCCCGGGTTTTACCCGGGTTTTCCCCCCTATAGCCACCCGAGAAGGACCGTATAGCCTAGAAAGGCTCCTATAGATTAGTTAGGATAGCGGAGTAAGATCGATAATAATAATAATAATAAAGATATAGTTACTATTAAGTGCTAGGATAGGTTACTTAATTTACTATTAACCGTCTTATACTATTAACTTTACTATACTAACGTAGCGAATAGAGTAACTAAAATAATATTAATTAACTTAGCTACTATAATTAAGGCGTAAGTATTTTACGAACTAGTCAGGACATTAAGCTCTATTAGTTATTTAGTGGGTCTCGGATAATAGAGGGGATACCCTAAAGTGTATAATAGTATACCTCTTCAGGTCACCGTTTTTCACTAATCACTATAAACTTCACCGTTTAAAATAACTGCCGTAATATACCTAACCATTTTCATATAGTATTAATCGATAATAGTAAACACGTTATTTAGTGATATCCATATTATCTGGACATAGCATCGGGGCACCACATTATAAGGCTATTACTTCAGCGACAGTCATTATAAGGCCAGACTATCTATACCCCCCCCCCTCCCGCGTAGATAGCTACCTATATGAAAATGCAATCTATAAGGTACCTACCTGACCTTACCCATTCTCCCAACTCCTTGAAAGCAGCAACACTGAGTGGGTTTCCTTCACCCGATATGATGTATATGTGACACCGTAACATGGGAGTATCACCACAACTGCCACTGTCACTTTGACTTTTTCTGGGGCAGCTCTGCGCCAAAGCCCCATGCTGTGCTGAACCCATTTAAGCCATCCGTACCCCCGGTCTTCCGTCTGACTACCACATCCAGCAGTGGAGTGCAAAACAATAGAGACCGGACAGCCCATCTCGTAGTTCGTCGTTTTTTCATCTTCGCTTTTTCGGCGCCCCCCTGCTCTGCTTCGGAAACTGCAACGGCAACGCCAGCTTGACGACAGTGCGCGCCTTGGTCTCGCCGGGCCTCTTCCGCCGCAGGACGCGGGCCCCAATCTCGTGGAAGTACTGGTTCATGGTCTTCTGGTCGAGGCGCAGGTCCTCGCGGATGTCCTGCGGGTCGGTCTCGAAGTTGTCGAGGAGGCAGGTGAGCACGCAGCAGTGGGTGGCGAGCAGGTCGATGTGGAACTTGCACATCTCGCCGCCCTCGGAGAACTTGCGGCGGATGTGCTCCACCACGGGCGGCGGCGCCGGCGCCAGGTACCGCGCCATGATCTCCTTGGGCGGGATCCGCCGCGTGCCCTTCTGCCGGCCCTCCTTGGTGTGCACAAAGTAGACGACCAGGAAGTGGAGGTAGCGCAGCAGCCGCAGCTTCTCCAGCGCCCGGTCCTGCACCCCCATGGCCTGCACCCGCGCCGCCACGTACCGCGACATGACCTGGATTTCGTCGTTGCGCTGCGTCGCCTCGTGCCAGTCGCGCACCGGCACCGCCTTGAGCACCTCGGCCCCGATGAACACGTTCGGGTCGTACACGTCGGCGATCTCCTCGGCCTCCAGGTTGGCCGGCGGCACCGGCTTGGACTCGTCGATGGCCGCCTGGAGTTGCTCCCGCGTCGCCATGGACGCCGTGGCCTCGCCGATCTGGGACAGCGTCGCCTTGGAGGCCGCGTCCAGCTTTTGGGACCCATCCGCGCCGACCTTGTCTTGGACGATGGCGTTCATGGCGTTGGATTCGATGGCCTTCTTGGCCTTTCTCGTACCGAATGTCTGGCCCAATTCGATCTTTTGATCCTGGTAGCTCTGTTTCATGCATCGTCAGTATGTCTTTTCTTTTTGCGTTCTTTCCCTTTGCACCGTGCCACCATGCTTCCGGAACTCTCCGACAGTGAACGTAAAAAGAAGAAAACGAAGAAGGAAAAAAAAAAAGATTTAGGAGGTTTCTGTTCCCTTACCTTGGTATCCGCTGGCGCAGTCATGGCCTCCTCCGCAGCATGCCTCGCCCGGACCGTCCCGCGAACAACCAGCTTCTTGGCCTCCATCACCTCCATCTTGCCCGTTTGGGGGTCGAAAATAGCAAGGTATTGCTTCTGCAGTGGCTCGCCGCCATTCCCCGTCGGTCCTTCTTCTCTTGCCGTGAGGTCGACGGTCCGATGCTTGGCCGAATGCAGCACGAGTTCTTGCGCCGAGGCGGGTGGCCGGCGGGACTTTTTGGTCGACGACTTTGGTCTCTTCTGGTAGGGGCGAAACGGGACGTTTTTCTGTAGCTGAAGTCCGGGAGCAGAAGCTATATTTGTCACAACAAGGTCAGCGGACCTGAACCTGGGTTCGGGAGTCAATAAATAACGGCAAGGGGCCCATACCAATCACGGGAGGGCAGTGCTGGGCCTTGGTGATGGAGGTGATGTGGATGGATGTCGCCGCCATCTCGGGGGCAATTGCCGCCTTCTTTTTGGGCTTGGACTTCTCATCGCCAGTCCTCTTCCTTTTTCGGCCGTTGACTTCTGCCATGGTGTAAATGAATGGGGGTGTAGAGGTGCTGGCGATCGATATATTCGGCGGGAGTTGAAGAGGACGAGGTTCTTTCTGATGGTAAGGTACAATATTTTTCCCAATCTTATCTCAATTGGTAAACGGCGGATAAGGTAAGTACGTACCGACGTTACCGACCTAAGGTATCTCAGGTAAGGTATCTACCTATCTTAGGCAGGCGTTAATAGGTACTTGACGGTTGAGTGGTCTGTGCACTCAACTGTCAACGGGCCTACAAATAGGTACGTACCTAGATACGTACCTCTTATGGTCCAAAGTATCTCTGTACCTCCGTCACAGGCTCGGTGAGAAACGAACGCCGACCCCCGGCGTGGAAACCCGGTGCAAGCCATAATAAGACAGAGACAGGGACCATCACTTACACACGACACGACATCTGCCTTCATCGTCACTTTCCCGATTCACCAGACCACCGCGACCATGGTTCGTGTTCTGGGACGCGAGCCTCCCTCACAATGGAGTACAATAATTTCCACAATTCCCAGCACAAGGACCTACTCAACATCCCGGATACAGGAAATCCTCCATAAACCAAAACTCATCCCCGACCACCTCTCTCCCACCCACTCAAACCTCCTCACCATCTCCCTCTCCGACCACATCCCATCGGAATGCCTCCCAGAACAACAACCCACCTTGTCTTCGGGGGGAACCCCGCCGCCGCCGTCGTCACCGCCACCATACCTCCCCCAGGGCCACCACCTCGTCTACTTCCCCATCCAAGCCCGCCCCTCCGAGCTCCACGCCGACGGCACCGACTCCGACCACTGGCCGGGCCCGCCCTTCACGCGGCGCATGTGGGCGGGCGGCGAGGTGTGTTTCCGGCCGGGCTGGGAGCGGGCCATGCGACTGGATGGCCGCAAGGTCGTCTGCACCGAGACGGTCGAGGACGTCAGGGTTTCGCCGGGGAGGGGAGAGCAAGCCAGGGCCTTCGTCGACGTGTGGAGGCGGTACCGGCTTGCGGACCAGAAAGACGAGGTGCCGGCGGCCATCGAAGAGCGGAGGACGTTGGTTTTCATGCCCGAGTCTGTGAATTCCGACGAGACGGCTCTTCCCACCAGTCGAAAACGAGGTCTGAAGCGTACGTCTCTTCCCCTTCCCTCCCTTTCTTTCTCTCCTATTCCTTCTCCCTCCCCTTTCCACCTTGGATGGGTCAGTTACTATAGGGACTTTGAAAATCCGAGTGTCTCACACGTAACCCACCACCCAACCCTCCGTGTAGCACCCCGCGATAATCCCGACTACGCCTTCACCCTGACGCCCACCCGCGCCCTGCTGGCCAACTACAGCGCGCTCACTTACAACGCCCACTCCATCCACCTCGACACGCACCTGACCCGTGCCGAAGGTCATCCGGGCCTCCTCGTCCACGGGCCGCTGTCGCTGACGCTGATGTTTGCGGCGCTCAAGGGCCGGCTCTCACAGGGGCAGGGGCAGGGGCAGGAGCAGGGGCAGGTCCCAACAGAGGGCGTGCGGTGGTTAGGGTACCGCAACCTGGCGCCCCTGTACTGCGATGAGGAGATGAGAGTCTGTCTTAGGGAGAAGGAGAAGGAGGCGAGCGGGGAGCATGGCGAGAGGAAATGGGACGTGTGGGTTGAGGGGGAGAATGGGGGTCTGGCTGTGAAGGGGACCGCGACGACGGGGCTGATGAGTTGAACACTGGGCCGTGTGGGTGTAGTCCATCTGACTAGGAGTATGAGAGCCTCGTCCCGGCAATGTAGCATAAAACCCTGTACATATATACTATTTCCATTGCTCCTCTACGGAAGCATCCTCATAGGGGAGAAGGCATATATAGACCCCTCTTACCTTTCAATATATTTCACATCTGTATTATTGTTTATATATATACCACGTCTAAAGACATCCCCCCAGGCTCATCAGGGGCTACTCACCATTACGCATCTGTTAACCCCTGAAGACTACAGATCCAACCTAACCCCCAACCAGCCACGTCCGTCACGGCGTACCACCCTCACAGAGACACCCAACGAGACGCAACGTACGACGCCACGGATATCTCGCATTGCATTGCACTATCCCAGTATCCTAAGGTAGTTTGAAGACCAGTTCACCCGCCGAACCGAGCAGAGCACTGGCATCACAACACGTCAAAGTCCAGAACCCCCCCAAACTAAAGCAAAAGCAACCGCTTCTATGCGCAAAATCCCAACCTTTTACCAATCTACCTGTTTATACTATTCATACAAACTGACTAGAAGGGAGGACATCCCCCAGATACGGACGAAAAAAATCATTACGCTCTTAAGAAGAGGATCCCAGAAGAGTCGGCCCGCACCAGCCCCTCACTCCTCATCGTCGTCCGCATCAGCCATACTGACATCGGCCTTGGACGCCGCAGCCGGCTCCTCGTCTCCCTCTCCCTCTTCCCCCCCTTCCTCTTCATCGCTCTCAACCACCCTGCCCCGCCGTGTCCGCTTACTCTGCTGCTGCCGCGCCGACACCCCAGCATCCTCATCCTCATCTTCGTCCCCAAACAGATCCGCGCCGTCGACATCCACATTCATCTTGTCCCCGCGGCCCTCGTCCTCATCCTCCTCATCCTCATCGCCGCCCCGTCGTCGCCGCCCAGCACCACCATCATCGTCAGAGTCAGGCAAGCCGCCGCCGCTGCTGCTACCGCGCCTCTGCTTCCTCTCAAGCGCCCGCTCAGCCCGCTCAAGGGGATCATCCTCATCCCCCCCTTCCTCCTCCTCCTCCTCCTCTTCCCCTCCCACACGGCCACCCCCGCTCTCGTCGCTGCTATCAACCACAATCTCAGCAGACTTGTACTTGCCCGCCTTCTCCGCGACGCCCTTCCGCGACAGCCGCCTCTTCTTCTTCGACGGCTGCCGTTCCTCATCCGACTCCTCGCCCTCCGTGCCCGTGCCCGTCGCAGCCGTCGTCTTCTTCTTCTTCTTCCGCGATCCCCGCTTCGGCCCGCCCCCCCCCCCCCCCGCCCCCCCCCCCCCCCCCCACCCCCCCGCCGCCGCGGCCTTGCGCTTCCGCTTCATCTTCTCCCCCGTCTCGCTATCCGTCGTCATCTCCGCCTCGGCGCGCGACCGCTCCGCCTCCGCCCGCTGCCGCGCCATCTCCCGGTCCCGCACCGCGATCGCCTCCCGCTCCTTCCGGATCTTCTCCTGCTTCTCGCGCTCCAGCGCCGTCGCCCGCTCGCGCTCCTCCTCCCGCCGCCGGAGCTCCGCCTGCCGCTTCTCGAGCGCCGCCTGCAGCTTCTCCTTGTTCTTCTCCTCGTACTCGCGCTGGCTCGCCACCGCCCTCTCGAGCTGCCTCCTCTGCGTGTTGCGCGCCATGTTGGCCCGCTGCTCCACGTCGTGCTTGGGGTACGGCGTCTGGGGGTGCGCCGCGATCTCGTCCAGCGCCACGATCGCCGCGTCGAGGCCCTCGGCCGCGTCCTGCAATTGCTTCAGAGTCCGACTCGCCTCCGGCATCTGATAGATGGTCGAAGCGAGCTGGATCTGAGCGAACGCCACATTGAACTTGTAGTGTACTTGGTCCGGGGCGGCCTCGAGTGCCTAGAGCACGATCCAGTCAGTCTGAGGCCCATAAAGGACAGGGGACCACAAGAGAACTTACCCTCTTAGCAAATGCCAATGCCTCGACATAGGCGTCCAGGTTCCGCTCCGCCCGCCCCTTGTTCAACCACGTCCGGCCAAGACAAGCGAGAATCAGAGCATCATTCGCCTTGCCCTCCTTAGCCAGCGCAGCCTCGTAGTTCTCCACCGCCTTCGTGAACTGCCTCAGCTCGGCATAGACATGACCGAGGTTGACGTGGACGTGCGACTCCCTGACCGTCTCGCGGACCTTGACAAAGATGCTCAGCGCCGTCTTGTAGTCCCTCCTGTCCTCGACCAGGGCGATGGCGATGCCCTGCGCCGCGTACGCGTTCCGCGGATCGAGCGAGAGCGCCTTGTCGAAGAACTCGACCGCCTTGGTGTACATGGCGCTCCGTTTCGCCTTGTCCCTCTCCGTCTCGCGCCGCATCTCCCGCGCCGTGAGGAGGTGCAGGTTGCCGGCCCCGACCAGGGCGTACCGGTCGTGTTTGTCGTGGTCGCGCAGCGTGTGCTTGTAGTGCCGGAACTCGTCGTCCTCGTTGATGTTCTGCGACTTTTTCCGAGACGTGACTTTGCCCAGGTACCATCCGTACAAGGCACGGACTTCCAGATCCCTGGGGTTCTCGCGGAAGAGCTTGGAGACCGCTTCTGGACCCTCCTTGTGGGGGTGCTTGCGGAGGTTGATGTATGCGAGCCGCACGCGGGCGTCCGTGTAATCGTCGTGCCGCTTCAGAAGCCCCTCGTAGACGTTCGTGGCCTCGTCGGTGAGGCCCCTCGACTCATAGCTTCGCCCTAGGTTGAAGCTGATGGTGGTCACGAGGGCATCCACGTCGGCGTCTTCCTCGCTCTCTCCAAGCCTCATGCAGGCATCCAACGCGGCCTCGAACATTTCGCTCGCCAGTTCGTGCTTGTCAGCTTGCGAGTAAAAACAGCCCATATTGCTGAGCAGCTGGGGAGGGAGGTGTCGGCGCAAGGCCTTCTTGGCGTCGGCCTCGTCGGTTCCTTCCGGCGGACGATGCGCCTCGTCGACCTGATCCATCTCTAGCCGTTCCACCTGGAGGAGACACTGCAGCGCCTTCTCGGGGTGCTGCGCTTCGTACAGCCGGGCGAGGTTCAGCAGAACGGCGCTGTCGGCATTCAACTGCCTCTTGGGATCCTTCCACGAATTGCGAACGCCCTCGAGCAGAGTAATGGCCTTCTGCGTCTCGGCCGACTTGTCGTCTTTGCTGCCGGATGCCTGGTGGGCGAACACCTCCTCGGCGTAGAGGGTGCCGAGGAGAACCATGGATTCGTGGTGCTTCGATTGCTGAACCAGCTTCTCCAGCGTGAGCTTGGCTTCGCCCAGATCGCCGCGCATGACGGACAGCTGTGCGGCGCCGAACTTGGCCGGCAGGTATCCTTGATCCGCGCCGCCCCTTGCATCGTCCGCGCGGCGGTAGTAATCGCTGGCACGGTCGGCGTTCCCTTCGTGGTGTTCCTTGCGGGCCAAGAGGTACCAGCCATCACTGGCAATGGCGTTGACGTCGGTGTATTGAATGGCTTTGTGGGCGAGCAAGTCCACCGTGCCGAACTGCCTCCGCGAAAGGAAGTAGTTGGCGAAGGTGGCGCACGTCAATGGCATGTTCTTGTCTAATTTGAACGCCTTCTGGGTGTATTCGGTCATGGCTTTCTTGTAGAGACGGATGAATTCGGGGTTGTCGGTCGGGAGGTGGCCGCTCGCGTCGAGGTAGTACAGGCCGAGGAGGATATTGCCGACCTTGTGCTCCGGGTTGATCTCAAGCGACCGTTCCCACGCGAGCTTGGCGTCCTCCTTGAATCCAAGCTGCCAGAAGCAACATCCAATTCCAACTCTCGGGTCCGGATCAACGAGGTCGGGCATTTTGCCGAGGACTTCCTGGTACGCGGCGAGAGATTCGGCGTATTTTCCGAGCGAGAAGTACGCCCTCGCCTTGCCCATGACGGCCAGCATGTTCTTTCCGTTCGACACGCGTATGGCGTCCTCAAAAGCCTTCAGGGCGGCGCGCAGGAGGTTGGTCCTCTCGTTGTCGAACTTGCCCAGCGACGTCTGTAGCGAGGCCCGGAGAAGCTGGAGCACGCCGCGAGCCAGGAACAGAGGCGGGAAGGCCGGGTTGATGCGCGACGCCTCGTTGAGGGTCGACGTGGCCAGCTGGAGATAGTGCTCCTTCGTCTTGGCCTGGGAGGGGAGTTGGCCCTCGGGGGCCAGACGCGGCGCCTCGCGTGCCTTCCAGAGATACATCCAGCAAAGGCATCCCACCAAGCTCAGCTTCTCGCGCGGGTTGTTGTCACGCATGGAGTTGCCGCCGCGGACGAGCATTTCTATCGCGTGGTCGACGTTCTTCTGCTTGGCGTAGGCGAGCGCCACGGTCATCCAGTACGTCCGTGCTGCTCGCTCGTTCTCCAGCAGGGTGCAGACTTCAGTGGGGTCATCGAAGAGGGCCTCGAGGTCAATCTCGACAGCCTCATCTTCGGCTTCGCCGTGGACGGGGACATCGATGGCGGAGGGAATGTCGGAAAATCGCTTGCTCGTAGGTGTCGCGTACACGCCGTTGGCACCATTGGTGCCGCTGCGAATGGTGGACATGATGGGCCCAAACTTGAGGCTAGAGCATTGTCTGGTATCGAGGCTCACATCCAAAAGCTATGATGTGCACAGTCAATGCAATGTTGAAGGAAGGGCTGAAGTTGTTGCTTGTTTGTAAAGAGAAGCTCCGTGCTTCCTGCAGGCTGGAGGTGAGAAGGCGCGGTGGAGATCCTACAAGGCCGCGAACCTTTCAGCCAAGCAGTCCCCACCAATCGGTTCTGATTGGAAGAAAGTATATTACCTAATATCCAGCTGATAAGATAAGCTACCTTCCATGGGTACCTGCATTTCAACTCCCGGGACAACGGTCAATACCTAAGGTACCTAAAGGTAAACAGTCAATCTGTACGCTGTAAGGTACCTACCGTACTACCCACCACTACCCACCTACCTTAGTCCACGGAGTACAGTACTCCCAGGCCGTTGAGGTGAATGCAAGTCGACGAGAGCTCCATGAGACATCCGTACGGCCTGCGCCATGGTGACCCTACAATACCGATGTACCACTGTAGGAACGATCCTACGCACAATCTCCTGGCAGCGTCGTCTTCCAAACGACCCTCGTTTCCCCCCTGCCACGTCCCGACTTTGATCTCATGGTCATGCATAATTTCACAGAGGCGATGGACAACGTCGCAAAACGAGTGACTCGGTTATGTGTTGGCCGTCTCAATACTCCTAACGGCCCGGCAGCAGCTTGCTGCATCGCGCAGATGACTACCCGACCAGTCCTCACACAGCGTCTCCCCGGTTATCACCATCCTACCCTAAGAGCCCAGGACTTGGGACATCTGGCACCTGGACGGCCCAAATTCCATCGTAAATAAAAAGGGGTGGGTAATGATCTAAGCAACAGAGAAAATGGTCAGGGAGACTGGGAAGAGAAGCTTGGGAGGAAAAGGGAAGGAATATTGAATATTGAACGTACCTGCAATCTTTTACTTCTCGTACTCTTTACTTCAGCCGGCCATCATGACGGAACGGAGCGGGCTCGGGCGCGCCGTCTGGTGACCCTGGCCCCGGTTGGAGTTGGCCGCGGATCGGCCCATCAGGCGCCCATGAGCGGCGCTGGTGCTTGCGCCTGCGCCTGCGCCTGCGCCTGCGCCTGCGCTTGCGCTTGCGTTCGTGTTTGCGCTTGGTGCTGGCTCGGGCGGAGCCTGCTGGTAGAAATCGGCTTGATCATGTTCCAGCGTAGTTGGCACTTCAGCGGATCCTCCAGTGGAGGATGCGGTTGGTCAATCTAAAGAAATCGATACAAGTCAGTTTCCACACACGCTTTTCTTCTTCTTTTCTTTCTAGAATCATTGTCGTGCTTACCGTCATAAAACTCATCATCGTCCTCAAAGTCAGCGAGCTGCTCAAAGTTGACCTTGTATCGGAGAAGGCCGCCAATGCCGCCAAAGCCCTTGACAAACTGGTTTCCTTCCGTCGACCTGTCCGACACGAACTCGAGGGTTGTGCCAAAGTCCCTGTAATGTTCGGCGATCCATTCCAGGAACGAATCTTGCGATACCACGTCCATCTCCTGCCCCGTCTCCTTGTCCATGAACTGCGAGCGGTCGCCTTGCTCCTGCAGCTTGGTGGTGTGAAGGATGATTTCGGCACCTTCGCTGTTCTTCAGCACCCAGCGAGTGATCTCGAGGTTCTCAAACACGATAAGAGTCTCGACGGCACCGAGTTCCAGCGCCTTGAGCGTGTCATCGATACCGTAGCAGATGCGGCCGGTATCCTGGCTGATCTCCTCGAAGTACTTGCCGATGAGCTTCTTCTCCTGGATGAACTTGACGTTGCCCAGGGTTTCCGACGCCAGCTCGATGGCCTGGTTGAACCCGTTCTCGCCACCATACGACACGTCTACGACCTTGATGACCTTGCTCTGCAGGCGGTTGTCGAACATGTCGGACTGGTTCAGGTCGTTCTTGAAATCGGCCGAACCCGCCAGGATGAGACCGGCGACGTTGACCTTGTCGGCCGTGATGAAGTTCTGGACGGCCAACTCCGACACCTTGCGCACGTAGTTGTGGCGCTTCTCCTCGCGGAGACGGGCGAACCGGAGCGCCGACTGACCACCACGACCGTGCTTCTTGGGCAGGTCGACGGAGAACTTGTGGATGATGTCTCGGGTGTTCCCGCTCAGCGTGCCGAAGAGGGCACCGTTACCGTCCATGATGATGAATCCGAACTTTTGGTCCGACTCGAGCAACTCAGCCAGCGCCTCGGTGTGGAACTTGTTGTCACAGAGGTACAGCGAGGTGTTGATGGGCTTGAAGGGCTCGAAGTCGATGTTGACCTTCCGCTCCTTGCCTTCGGATGTCAAGATTTCACCGCAGTAGACAACAAGGCCGTTGGGAGGCACCTTGTTGTAAAGCTTGAGTCGCTGCTGGGTCGATGTGATGGCGGAGAGCACGGACTGTCGGTTGACACGCGACTTGATGTTCGAAGCCGTTCCCTATTTGACTTGTTAGTCGCCGGCCGTAGTAAAAGAAGGAAAGAAGAAAGCGAAACAGATGGGCTTACGTATTCTTCCGCCAACATCTTGGCGGCGCGGGAAATCTGATCCTTGGGCGCTGTGAGAAAAGGTGTCAGCAGAAGTTGGTTCAGGTTCGGACACCGCCGTGGGACGACGGGTAAGCGAAGGGGTCACGTACGAATGATCAGAGAGATCATGCTGGTGCCATTACCACGAGCCGCCTCGAGCCGTTTGATGAGCTTCTTGACCTTCCAGATCTCGATCTATTATTGTTGAAACGTGTCAGTGTTCTTCCTTCTTGAGCAATTTCTTGACCGCGGGGCAAAGAGGGGGCGCGCTGTGAGCAAGCGGGAAAGGGAATCTGATGATGCGTACGTTCTTCTCCGCCTCGGTGGCGTTGGGATCCGACATCTTGGCGGTAATTCTTCAGAAGAGAAGAAAAAGCTGCTGATGAAGATGTGTCTGGGGGGAAGTTGGGATGACGAGACGATAAGAGAGTCGTTCTTCTATTTCGTGCGCAATTCCCTGTCCTAGCGGGCCACAACGCTACCCAAGCATGTTTGTAGAGAAAACTTGTTGCGGTGGCTGTGGCGGGGAGACCCAATGAAAGGGCTTCGGGGCTCCAGATTTCCCGGTCCGCCGAGATGACTGTTCGAGATGTCGATGACCTCATTGGATGTATAAGAATGTATACCGGTATGCAGTTAAGTAGGGTACCTTAATAAACGAATCGAGACTACCTGAGCTCCGCGAAACGTTGGCGCCGAACAGTGTACGGAGTAACTTCGTACCTACCTTACCTTACGGATAAAGGTACGGTACAGAGTACGAGGAGCCTCCCATCGCGGACCGCAACCAGCCCATTCAAACCCTCAACCATTCAACGATTCAACCCCATTGCCTCCCCCTGATATTTACTGCTGGCCCGTTTCCCTAATCCTTCCGGAACCCACCATGGCATCCTCCATTCCCGCGCAGGTGGCGGAAACGATTCAGACCGCGCACATCAACCGCGCCCCGTCCGCCACCCACGACCTCAACCCGACCACCTCCGCCTCCGAGAAGATCCCAGTCTCGCTATACGATGCCGACGACCTCGACGGGGACCGGAGTTACGAAAGGGACGGAATCGACCAAGACGAGGATGAAGAAGACATCCCCTACAGCGTAATCAAGCCCCGGCGGCGGGCCGCCCACCTCCCGCCCATGCCGGACCTGCGCTTCGAGCAGAGCTACCTACACAGCATATCCAAGGCCGATACTTGGGGGAAGGTCGCGTGGATCACCGTGCGGGATCAGGTTCGTCTCACTCTTCTTTTGGTCTATCCCTTCCCCCCCCCCCGGCAATGCTTCCATTTCATGGTGAACGAGTTGTACTGACTACCATGGTACAGGTCATGATGCCGCTGCTGCAGGGCGTGCTCTACAACTTGCTCCTGCTGGGGTGGCAGAGTTGGAACCGCAACGCTCAGGTCCACGGCTCGTCCGTCGGCGCCAGGGTCAGGAGGTGGTGGTACGGCGTGAACAACTGGCCCATACCCGGGCAGCCGGGATCTGCGAGGTCAAGATACAGGTGACCCGGACATGGTAATACTTCTCAGTCCCTTCTATAGCTTCAGGCCAACGATCGGAGTATTCTGTACTCATATTAGAGTCATGTGTAAAACCTATAATCGTCCTAGAACACGACCGTGCTCCCCACTGAACCTTAGAATACATGACCACACACAGCTCTAGTGGGTTTGTCAAAAGTCCCCCAGTGTCTATGTAAAGAGCAATCAATACCTTTGGCATGCCTCCTCTCAAGGTATCGTAACCCCTACGAATATCGACTGCCAAAATGTTCGTTTTTTTCTCTCATAACGCCAATCACGCCAGTCCCTATCAGTTTCGTCCCGAGGCTGGAATCTCCGCCCCCCCCCCATTTCCTCGCCTACTCTTTGCCGTCGGCGGCATCTTGCTGCTTGTCCGGGCTACCTCGAAGAGCCAGAGACGTGGGTTGCAAGGCCAAAGGGGTCGCAGGCATCTTGTCTGACACCTTATTATCCTCGGGCTCAGGCGTCCTGTCCTTGATCGTGTCAGCCGGCTCGATTCCCTCGGAGGGACTCTGGCGGGCCCCCTCGCTCGGTTTCCGTTCGCCATCTTGCTCTCCGTCCTTACTATCCGGGGACGGGGTCAAGGCCCCCTTGGCTGCTGCTGCTGCCTTTAACTTGCTGAGCGCCGAACCGTTGACCTTGAGTTCCACTATGAGTTGGCCCCGGGGCCGTTGCTCGAGATGGTCATCTACCATGATTTCGTCCTCGTTGAACTCGTCGTCTTCTTCCTCTTCCTCCTCGCTCTCTTCCGGCACATGCTCGTCTCCTTCCTCGTCGTCTCCGAGTTCAGGTTCGCTGGGGTCCTCATCCACGTCCATGTCGTTCGAGACGTCGCGAGACCTAGTCGGTTTGGACCAGCCGTTTGTCCCGTGATGGATGGCTGCGGATCGCCTGGGACGACCACCACGGCCGAGGGCGTTCTCGTCGCGCTCCGACCCATCCCCCTGAGCACCGACAGTCGCGCTGCCCGCGGCGGCAGCATCCAAGCGATTGGGCGCTCGGACCTGACGACCGCTCGCCGTGGTGGTAGGACCTGCGGGCTCAGCGGGCGTGTGTGTGCCGGTATTGCGGGTGGAGCGGCGCGTAGAATCCGTGTAGAAGTCGTCCTCTTCATCCGAAAAGGTGTATTTGATGCGCTTGCCGCGTGTGCGTCCCTCGTAGAGGGAGAAGCCGGGTGAGGGTCGCTTGAAGCGGTTCTTCTGCGCTTGTCGGTACTCTCGTCGCCGACGTTTCTGTTTTTGTTCATGTGTTGTTAGCATGTGTGCATGACGGGAGAAAACGTGGAACGACTGGATGACGTACCTCTTCAGTCGCCTCAAATCGAGGAATGGCGGTCATCATTTTTTGGGCAAGCTTCCTCGCCTTGGGTCCACCGTCCTTTGTTTCCAGCTTATCCGCCAACGCCGTGAGTTCTTCGATCGATCCCGCAACCGACCACCACGTTCTTTTGAGGTTGGCGGGGTTACTCTCGCGGTAGACGCGGAAGGCAGTGTCGTCCAAACCCTCAATCAGGTAGTATCGTCTCTTATCCCAGTCGGTACCCCAGGGTTGCACGGAAAGCGGTTGATTCAAATCATCTTCGTGGCGGTTCTGCCTGTAGGACTTGTTGATCAAAGTTCGGATGGCCTCGGAGCCGGAAAGAGACCAGAGGGCAAGGGCGCGAAGTAGGGTCAGCTGGAGCAGAAATAGTCAGCACGATGAGACATGAAGTTCTTTGGGTAGTAATAGTAATTTCTCTGGTCGCGCAAGAGTTGGGCCAAGTTGCGATGCGACCATGTGCACTTCAGACGTACTCTCTCGGTATTGACCATGCTATGAAAGCTGGCCCCGCCGGACAGAGGACTCTTGCCATCCCAGGCTCGAGGCCACTGGCTTTTGTGGCTGCTGATAGCGTCTTCCAGAGCGCGCATATAGTGACCAGGCCTGGCGCAAGTAGGTAAATTAGCATAGATTTCAGCACGTAGTAGGAGGGTCGCACAAGTCATACTTGACATCCTGCTTGCGATTAAGCAGCAGCCCTAATAGGGCGCAAAGGAAGTTCTCAACCCGTTGTCCCGGAGGCGTGTCGCTGATATCATTCTCGAGCTCTTGCGGTCCAAAATTGGATAAATTTTTGGGGAACACCTCGTTGAACCGACTCCTAAACATGACAATAAACTGAAAACGAGAGACAAGGTCAGCTTGGGGGTGCCGGGTACAGGTCCGCGGTGGTTGCGCACGCGAAATGTCGCGTCAATCGCGTGGATTGGACGTGGGCGGACGTGGGCGGACGTGGACGCGCCAACGAGCTACTTACAGCGATGTCGGGGTTGTCGGCTAGAGTATATTCATGAGGAGGCGAAGGCGACCTTTTCCGCGGTGGTGGTGAGGGCTCCTTGACTGGAGGGGAGGGCTTCTTCTTCTCTCCCTTGGGGAGCTTGTTGAAGAACTTTAGGATACCATTCTTGGTCTGCGAAGGGCCATCGGACTCGATGTCAGAAGGGACCGGGGAAAGAGAAGAAAGCGACGATAAGTCGGAGGAATCGTCCGTCATCGTTCGCGGCGAGCTTGTTTCCCTTGGTAAATGGTAGCTTCGGTTGTTGTTGGTGTATCAATCAAGACAGAGATGAGTTTCGCATGGATGCGAAATCGGCGGGTGACCTAGTTCGTTGATGGTGGGTGGAGTCCAAGCTTGAGCAAAGACTGGAGCGATGATGAAAGAGGGAGGGTTTCCGCGCTGGGCCAACAACGCGCCGTGGCCACAAAACACCCCCCGGTCGTGGTTATCTTTGCTGGAGCCACACTCCTTCTGACATACAACGTACTCTCTTGCCCTCTCGCTCTGCGACACTCTGATAGGCTCAGGTCAAGGTCAAGCTACGGAGTAGATTTGTTCACCCAAATGGTCCATCTCTTGATTTCCTCTACTACTACTTTTATTCAACAGCTGACTGATATCATGGGCCATCTCTCAGTGTCTCCGCCCGTGACCTTGCCGCCCTTTTTCTTATGTTGACCCTGGCCGCTGATAACCAAGCCCGTCCTACGCCTCTTATCGCACAGCAGTGAGTATTCGGTAATGACTAGCTAGAACAGAGCCGAAGATCAACTTGGATCAGTCATGTCTTTTGTGGGTGGGCCAACCTAGTCAGTCGCAAGGGCAGCCCGTTGAGGCCTACTCAACACAAGTAATGGTTGACCTTTGGACCATCGCAGTTGGTGACCGTAGAACATAGAAGCAGAAGCCACACAGAGCTTGCACTCACACGCAAAATCGAGTCCAACCAACAACTCAATGGTTGAAGTTGGGCAAACAAGTCAGACTGTCTTGACGGTTGTAATCCCGCCACGCCGAGGGACATGAGGTATTATATGGCCACGGGCAAATTCCGTAGCCCAAATCGTAACATGCGCAATCGGCAAGCGAAGCGAAGCCAATGGCTCCCAGTCGACGTAAGGATAGACACATTATTATGGCCGCCGAGTCCCTATCTCCTTTGCCCATGATGGGCATTATGACCACGTTCTCCGCTCGGAGACGTTGCCGGTGTCGGAGATGCTTGCAGTGCGGTATCCAAAGAAAAACCAGGCCGTGCCTGCCATGGCCTCAAGCTGCCGACTTTGCTGTTCTGACTCCATCTCCAGTTCGTGTGCATTTGAACCAGTGGAATTGGGGAAAAGCTCGGAAATAGGAAATGGGAAGAACAGGAAGCCGGTCGCAAAGTTAAGCAACAAGGTAAGGTCCTGGAATGACCGCCTGGCCCAGATAAGGCCTCAATTTTTGGTGTTTACACGAAAGTGTTGGCTGAATGCATGTCTGACCACTTGATCCTTCCTGTGTCCAGAAAGCAGTGGGACTATTGGGAAACGCGGTCGGCTTCCACAGCCTTGGTCGCCACCCAAAATGGCTGTAGGCATCTGTCATCAGACATCCTAAGCTTGATAGGGGGGGTTTGGCAAGATACGATTCTCATTTCCGATGAAATCAGACGTCCAAAAACAACGAGACGCCGCCCAAAGGACCGCGGGGCGTGATTTTGTCGCTTGACCCGTAGTTTGCTTCTTCCGCTCATATGTCAGCATTTCGCATTCCCCCGCAATAATTGAAATGCAACAACAAGAACAGATGAACAGTGCACAAAGCTTCGAAGGAACACCCTCACACGTCTTCCACCGCTGGAAAAGCCAACGGAAGAAGATCGCTTGCCAGGGACGAGAGAGTATCTCTTTTTTCTTTCTTTCTTTCTTTTTTTTTTTTTTTGGCAATACCATCACAGAATAGTATGAAGTAATGTGACGGATAGACGGAGTCCACGAGGTTGTCGTGGTGTGGATATCGACGCGGCAGCCTGCAAGTGAAGCAATCGCGATGGATTCACCTACAGGCTGTGGTCTGGAGCAGTGAGGTTGGATGGTCTTTTGGGAGAGGAGAGAGGCGGGAAGCTAGTCCGTCATTGGGTAGAGAGTGGGGAACTGAAATAGCGGATACAATTCTATGGGGCCCAATGACCAGGTGCACAGACCGGCGAGTTATGTAAGAATTGAGGTCACGTGTTCGTAAAAAGGTAGGGCTTTCCCCCAGAGCCACAAGTTCGCCAAAAATTTCCAGGTTCCTACGTGAACTGAACGACTTGTCGCAACCCTCCATCGACGACAACACCCAGACTTCCGCACGCAGAGGAAGACAAGATGGGTCGCGTTGTAAGTAACCCTTAGAACACTCCAAATCAACAGGACGTTGGGGAAGATGCTTTACAAAGCCATTGGGTTGCTGCAAAAGAGGGCGAGACCGAAGATGAAATTCAATTTCGTCCCACGCCTTCTCGCTGCATGACCCGCCCGACAACACCAAGACGAAAAGGAAGGTGGTGATGACGATGAAGCTGACATGCTACGCCTTTTAGATCCGCAATCAGAGAAAGGGCCGCGGCTCTATTTTCACCGCCAACACCCGCCTCAACAAGGTGAGAATCGAACCGAGCGAGACGAGCTTAGCTATACCCAAAGAAAAAGAACCCCGAGAAAAGCGCAATATTCCTAACGTGGTGTGATTTGATTTCCTCCAGGCCCCGGCCAAGTTCCGAACCCTCGACTACTCCGAGCGCCATGGATACCTCCGCGGCATCGTGAAGGAGATCATCCACGACCCCGGCCGTGGCGCGCCCCTCGCCAAGGTGGTGTTCAAGGACCCCTACAAGTTCAAGCAGCACACCGAGACCTTCATCGCCAACGAGGGCATGTACACCGGCCAGTTCATCTACGCCGGCAAGCGGGCGGCCCTGACCGTCGGCAACGTCCTCCCCCTCAGCTCCATGCCCGAGGGTACCGTCGTCTCCAACGTCGAGGAGAAGATCGGTGACCGTGGCACCCTCGCCCGTACCTCGGGCAACTACATCACCATCATCGGCCACAACCCCGATGAGGGCAAGACCCGCATCAAGCTCCCGTCCGGCGCGAAGAAGGTCGTCCACAGCCGCGCGAGAGGAATGATCGGCATCGTCGCTGGCGGTGGCCGTACCGACAAGCCCCTCCTGAGTATGATACTCTCTTCTCTCTCTCTCTTCTCTCTTTCTCGTGCCCTTGCCAGATTTGGCTCGAAGCAGGATAAGCACACGAAAAGGCAGGGCGAAGATGATGCTAATACGTTCCTCTCTACAGAGGCTTCTCGTGCCAAGCACAAGTACGCTGTCAAGCGCAACTCTTGGCCCAAGACTCGTGGTGTTGCCATGAACCCCGTCGACCATCCTCACGGTGGTGTAAGTAACCTCGCGCACGATGGAACGATGAGGGTCACAGGTACTGACTATCCTCTCAGGGTAACCATCAACATATTGGTAAGGCGTCGACCATTTCCCGGTACGCCTCGGCGGGTCAGAAGGCCGGTCTTATTGCTGCCAGGAGGACGGGTCTGCTGCGTGGTACCCAGAAGATCAAGGAGTAAAAAATGTGACACGGCAGGATTTTATGGTTACATTGGGATGGTGTTACGCGGCTGGCATCTTTCGAGGTACTTCCGAGGGCATATTGATGTTAGCTCTGGTGACAAAGTACCGTGGCATTTCTCGTATGAAACCCCCAGAGACTCTGGCTCTCACTTTTTGCAAAGCGGTGAAATGCCCGAATACCCCCGGTGAAAATTACAGGCATCGACTTTTTTTTCATGAGGCGCTCGGTTGCTGCCACAATCGAGGATTACCTTGCTTTTGCGTCGAGATGTTGCAAGTCAACATCAAACCAAATCCTGTATTTGCACTTAGTCTCTTTTGCAAGTCAGGTCCTGCACTATGACGGGGTAGAGCGAATGAATGTCATACGATCATCATCATCATCTCATATCGTAGAATGAACTAAAAAACCGAGGTGCTCAGCTCCGTTATCCGTTGAAGGAATTCGCTCCTTCACTCTTCCTCTCAGACCTGGGGCCAATGTGCAACGTGCAATGTGCAATGCAACATGAAAACATCCTCACTTTATCAAACAGCGCAAACTTCGGCCATGGCGGCGAAATTCAGGTTCTTCAGCTCCTCAGTTAGAGCGACATCGGCGGGGCTTAGGGAACGAACCATCTGTATCCGTACAAATGGTACAATCGGTACAAACCACTTGGGTACAATTTGTATACGGGCAACTGCACAATCTACACGACCCCTTTGTACCGGCACCAGCCCCGCCAGACCTGACACAACCCCTCGATTGGTAAACGGAAACCCCGCCAATTCCTCCCAGTCCCTGTACTCCTCCCCCTCCAACCCGTTCAACCCCTTCGACCGCTTCAGCCCCTTCAACCTCTTCAGCCCCTCAAGCCCCTTCAACCCCACCATCGCACCTCTCACCTGCAAACTCTTTCAACGGCATCAACATACCATAGTCCGCCGAGCAAGCCAATTGTCAAGTATGGCTCCCGTCAAGGAATATGCGCTTCTCTGCCTTGAGAACCCGCTGCTTGGTACGTGATTTGCAATTTCAATTCGGCTGATCCGGAATAGTTGAAATCATATTCTCCTCCCTCTCCTTCTGGGACCAGACTAACCCCTCATCCCTCAATTTTTCTTCTTTTTTTTCTTCTTCTTCTTTCTTCTTTTTTGCTCACTATTCTTCAGATATCCAGGCAGTCGGCAACGATGACCTCCTGGCCAAGTACAAGCTCAAGGCCAACGATGCCATCCTCGCCTCCCCCGAGCACCTCCCCATCTACGAGGACCTGCTGAACAACTACGATGCCAAGCTCATTGCCGGCGGCGCCGCCCAGAACACGGCCCGCGGAGCCCAGTACCTGCTGCCCCCCAACTCCGTCGTCTACCTGGGCGGCGTAGGCGACGACAAGTACGCCTCGATCCTCCACGACGCCGTCAAGGCCGCCGGCCTGCGCGTCGAGTACCGCGTCGACCCCGCCACCCCGACCGGCCGCTGCGGCGTCGTCATCACGGGCCACAACCGCTCCATGGTCACCGAGCTGGGCGCCGCCAACACCTACGCCCTGGACCACCTGGAGAAGCCCGAGATCTGGGCCCTGGCCGAGAACGCCGAGGCCTTCTACATCGGCGGCTACCACTTCACCGTGTGCCCGCCGGCCATCATGAAGCTCGCCCACGAGGCCGCCGCCAAGAACAAGCTCTTCGCCCTCAGCCTCTCCGCCCCCTTCATCCCCCAGTTCTTCAAGGAGCCCCTCGACGCCAGCGCCCCCTACTGGGACGTCGTCATCGGCAACGAGGCCGAGGCCGCCGCCTACGCCGAGTCCCACGGCCTCGCCGGCGCCGACCTCCCCACCATCGCCAAGCACCTCGCCAACCTCCCCAAGGAGAACACCCAGCGCAAGCGCGTCGCCATCGTCACCCAGGGCACCGACCCCACCCTCGTCGCCGTCCAGGGCGAGGACGCCGTCAAGGAGTACCCCGTCAAGCCCATCGAGACGGAGAAGATCAACGACACCAACGGTGCCGGTGACGCTTTCGCCGGCGGCTTCCTCGCCGGTCTTGTCGAGGGCAAGCCTCTCCATGAGTGCATCGACATGGGCCAGTGGCTCGCCAAGCTGAGCATTCAGGAGTTGGGTCCTTCGTAAGTTTTTGCTGCTGCTGCTGCTGCTGCTGCTGCTTCTATCTCTGCCTCCACCCTTTTTTCTCTATATCCTGTTTTCTTTTCCCGGTACATGCCGACGACTAACTGCCTTCGCACCCCCCCCCCAGATACCCCTTCCCCAAGCAGGCTTATCAGTCATCGTAATTCAACAAAAACAAAAGAGCTCTCTAGTGGGTACATCGTAGAAGCAGGGTGTGCCCCCTCAAAATCTGTTTGCTTCAGGGGCCTGGCGAGGCGTTGACGGTTAGAAAAGGGAAAACGGTTTCAACAACGGCGTTTTGCACCCAGGGAGGAAAGTATCAACATCAACCCAGGCTTAGGCATTGCTTCTGCATCAACTGGCAATTTCTTTTTTTTCTCTTCCTTTTTTTTCCCTTCTCTTTTCCTTTCGTCTGGATCCTCGTGCATTTTAGTCATAGGACCCTAGGCGCCCTTGCATGAAGACACGACGATTGAGACTAAAGCCCGAGATTCGACCCCTAGGGAAGACGGGGTTCTGAGATATTTCCTCGGCGCAAGGAGAGAAGGACAAAAAAGTAACACAAACGAGGGACTTCATTCATCGCCCTGTCTCTCCGATGGGAGAACGGCAGTGCGACTTCTTTTCGCCAACTTTTTGCCCCCCCTCCCCGTTCTGCGCGACGCTTCATCTTGTGATGGATGTCTGCAAAGTATTTCGACAACCCATACACAGCACCTCAGACGACAGCTCCTGCTCCTTCCCTAACGTCCCATCATTCTCCACGCATTGAACGCCAAGATGCCCGCCATAACTGCAGCAAAGGCCTAGAACATGTCAGCCAAGGAACCGGGCGATCGTTCAAGTGTAAAGTACTTACACTTTGCCGTATCAATGCAGGTGTAAAACGCCACCAACGGCAGCAGTCGGCGGGAATCCAGCGCTCGCCTGGGGACAGGAAGCCAAAACCACAGAAAGCGCCGAGTAGCATCTAACGTAGCCGGCCAGAGACCTAGACAAAGCTGCTGTGACAAGACAGATAACGATATGGTAAGAACTGAGCGAGAGACAAGGCATGATACACAGCTCCGAGCCAATATAGGGACAGGGTAGCGCAGCAAATTCAATGCAACCCTGCTAGTCCTACGGAATGCTATGCATGGTCCGCTGCCTCTGGAGATTATCGTCTCTGGACGCCTGGGGAAGAACCTGGCCGCCGTAGCTGTTCACGTAACCCCCGTTGGTGGACGTCGCGTCATAGGCAAGAGCATCGCCGCGCGAAGGGTACTCGGCGCCTTGATAGGCGTTGTGCATGGGTACCCCGTACGGATTCACTTGTCCGTCATAAGGGGTGCCTTGGAAAAGGCTACTGGGGTGCGAAAAGGCCGAAGTAGTGGAGGAAGCGAGGTAGCCGCTCTCGGGAAGAACATGCCGTGGAGCAAGCTCCTCCTGATTTCCTGTGGCCGGTGCGGCCTGGGATGAACGGCCGGGGTCGTGGCCAGAGGCCGAATAGTCCCGGCTAGTCGGACGGGATCTAGACGCTCTGCCACCGAACGCCTGGAGAAGCTGCGCCCGGTGGGCATCCAAAAGGTCGTCGGCAGAGTACGCGGTCGTATACTGGGGATACTGCTGAGAGGTGCTCGAAGGAGCCGGAAAGAAGGGAGCTGCCGGACCTTGCCGATTTGACACATCAGAAGAGGCGGCGTTCACCCTGGAAGCATTCTGGGCAGCCGCAGCCATGTAGGCCGAACTTGTAGACGGAGAGCGCTCTGCCATTGAGCGGTTGGGAGTAGGTGTGTACACCATTCCCCAGGGCAAACCGGGGAACGCACTGGGGGATCCCAGCGTCGGTGTATTCCTAGCCGGCAAGGTACCGAAGACTTCGTTGGCAGTGGTGGAATGCATGCCGTATGAGGTATCCTCGCGGCCTTGAGCCGACCGTCCTTGGGGCTGGTTCGAACGCGCCACTGGTGGGGTAAGAAATTCGTGAACCATGTTCATGACCGCGGTGTTCTCCGTAAAGTCGTAGTCCATCCCGTCCTGAGATACGGTGGTCCGAGGCAGGGCTTCTCCCGATGGGAGAGAATCAAAGCCCTGAGCTACGGGACCCGTGGATGAAGACCTAAGGCTCCTGTTCGGGGAGAGCGCTGCCTCGTGGGCGGTTTCTCCACCGGAAACGAGGTCCTCGTGAGCGGCAGGAACAGTGTGAGGGCCACCAGCGCGGCCAGCTCTGGGACTGCGGTGTTCGTCGCGAGTCCCCGGCCGGGCCGCCTGAGCCTTGGGTGTATGGTTTAGGTTAGTGTTCTCCAACCTTGGGGTCGTTACAAGCTGAGGTACCGGAGATTCCGTCTGGTAAGTGAACTCCAAGTTGGATTCATCCAGAGCGAAGGGCAACGTCGGGTCTCCGCTCAAGAAATACCCGCAGTGCATGATATCTAATACTCGGGCGACGGAATCCGCAAAGCCCTCAGAGCGCTTATCGGTGTAGAGGTCGCAAACGGGTTTCTCCCTTCCTTTTTCCTGATCGTACGAGAGTCGACATGAGTCTGGAAGTGCAGGCGAGTTCAGAGGCAGTAAACCGAGTGCCATATGGTCTTCAGGTAACAGGTAAGGCGCGATCTTAAGGGCCTCGGAAGCATAGGCCTCGACGAGCAACGTGAGGCATGCGGCAAATGTTTTACCCTGCTCTTGCACGACAAGCTTGGTGTCTTCTGCTGCCGCAGCACCGACATCCGACCTGTGACCGACAAGCCAAGAAGCGTAAAGGCGAACAAGAGGGAGAAGCCTAAGCTGGGCAGGAGTTGAGTTCGGACGTCCCTCGGTCGCAACCGAGGTGTCGTCGTTTTTATTGGTCTCGTCCCACTCCACGCGCTGTTCTTGGAGGGTTTTTAATTCGTTCAAAAGGGCGCGTGCCAGCGTCCTGAAGAAGAGAACGTTGAATCGAAGGAGCATGGCAGTGTACTTAGCAGCAGGGCCCGTTCCTTCAGCTGTGCGAATGTTAGACCGACAGAGAGTGTGGCAAAAAGACGCAGATTTTCTTACCACTGAGCCTGCTCTTAGCCACGTAATAGGCAGCTATATTGACCAACACCATCTTCATAAGCATGGCTGTCGTATCTGGCGCTCTGACGGACATGTCCAGTCGGTGAAGGACCTCGTTTTCGAGCTCCCCTTGCTGCGAAAACTTCTCCCCTTGATGGAAAAAAGCATGAAGCCGGACGAACCAATTCATAAACGGTTCGTGGATGTTCGGCGGCCCTGAGCGGCGAGACGTCGAGGTCGATGCGCCAGAAGCGGCAAGGAGCGACTTAAGCTCAGACTCGAGGTTCCGTAGTGCTCTCGGGTGAGGTTGCGCAACGGCCAGGGACATGAAGAAATGGTAGACGATTTCGAAATGCTTCTTCTCGTCCAGGTACACAATCGCCATCTGGTGGTGGGCGTGGCCCGAACCAGGGTTCAGGTCGTGCGAGAGACTGTAATACGTCAGGGCAGACCGATAGCTGCGCTTCTTGTGATGCCGCGCCTGGCAGCGATATCGGAGAAGGTCGCCAATATGGATGAGCGTCATGGAGCAGGAGAGAACAAGGGACTGGCGGGTGGACTCGGAGACATCTCGGACAGGGTTCTTCTCTGCTAGTTCTCTCGAGTCGATACTTTTCGACGCCAGGCGAAGCTCCGGGACATCGTAAATGGTCGCCAGACGTTGGACAAACCCTTCATAGAAGCGTTGCGAGACCTTGAGGAAGTCCAGGTACGACTTCTCCAGCTTATTCTTGAAGACGGCGAGTTGGGGGATACTTCGGACACGTTCGAGAGTGTTTCGGTACTCTGCGTGGACGAGGCTGTGCGCCTGCCACAAAGTATCTTCTACGCCTTCTTTGACAGAATACTCGTAGTTGAGGAAGATGGTCTGGACACAGCCGAGGCGGAATCTGCGAGACGTTCAGAAAAGAAAAAGAAGGGGGAGGGGGAAAAATCCGACACTACGTCGACCAGGGGCAGGACGAGCATCACTTACTCGGCGATGAACTTTTCCAGCTGTTCGTAGCGCCCAAGACCACTAACATTCTTGTCCTCACGAAGGCTTTCCAATTCCCTGAGCAGGGCCTTGCGACACTTCTGGGCTTTGCTACACGCGGCGTCAGGCGGAGAAAATCGAACTATTCGGGAGCATGACAGGTATCGGCGCAAAGTGGCAAAACATCAAGAGCAGCTTACCCCCAGTAATGCTTAGCCGCAGGCGCATTCTCGGCTTGCAGAGCCGCGTTCGCCTGTTCAGCCATAATGACTCTCCCCGTAGCTTTTTATGGCGGCGCGCTTGGTCAGGCCGAGAGATGTCGAGTCGTTGTTTGTCGGTGTCGCCTCCAGCGGCGGACGGTGGGATCGGGGATTGCCCAAAGGCAGTCGAAAACGGGGGGGCTGCAGGGGACGCTGACGCTGCAGGAGTCGAGCAAAAGGATGTACTAGGCCCTCACTCTCTCGTAACGGAGGCGCAGATTTGCTTCAAGTCCATAACCTCGTTCCCAACAAATTGTTGGCTGGCGGTCGGGGAGAGCGAGGTTGACGGTAGGAGAAGAAGAAGAGGATGCGGCGGGAGCGAAGTGAGGAAACATTTGGCAGCAGCTGGATAAAATAGGGACAGGCAGCGCAATAAGTCACGCAAGGAAGACAAAAAAACCTGTACGTTTCGAGCCAGAGTCAATCACGACGGATTCGTGGCGGACCGGAGGAAGAAAGTCGTGATACTTTTGGGGGGGAGAAAGCCAGAGGAAAGTCGGTCGAATGTTGGATCAATACTCCGTATGGGAACCCAGAATGCCCACCGTCTCTTAAGATTTCCACTCGACAGCCACAAAAACCGTCCACAAGCCACTAGTCTCGGGGCTCAGGCGCCCCATTAGACAAAACTTTTGGTGCCTATGAGCGCCACAAAATCGTAACAATAGGTACCTAGGTAGCACGGGACACACGGACCATACCCCACACTCACCCAACACAGTTAATACACTGTGCCAAGTACCTAACGCCATCTTTACCGCCCTTCGAGGTTCACCCACACCCAGCAACTTAAGAGTATCACCGCTCTTCATCCGTCATTCGGATAACAACCGTCACCTTGATTTTATTTGTCCTGCATACCCAAGTGTGTGGCTTGGAACTAGGAACCAGTATTTTTGGCAGTTTATTTTAAACAGTCTTTTCACATCGTCCATTGACTTTGGGCCCAAACACATCAAGTCCTCCGCAGTGACCGCTGGATCCTTGTGAAGGTGTCCGACCATCTCAGTGTAACCATCCCCAATCCCCATCGTCAGATGCATTTGACAAGATGAAGCGCTCACGAGAGGCTGAAGACGAGCTCGACTCGGACTACCCCTCGACGGACGACGAAACGAACGACCGGTCCGATCTGGTAGACCCTGACCCTGATGACCACCACACCGCCAAATTCGCCATCTTAGACCCCTCCGAGCACGCCCCAACTTCGAAATTCACAATGAAGTGCTATCTGCCGGGACACCAAGAGGGCATGGCCTTTGGCTCCTACGACGAATACCAGTCGCACTACCACAAAGCACATACGAACCGCTGCCTGGAGTGCCGAAGTAACTTCCCCTCAGCCCACCTTTTAAGCATCCATATCGAGGAATGCCACGACTCCTTTGCGGCGGTCAGACGAGACAGGGGCGAGCATACGGTACGTTCGAATCTCGGCCCCTTTCCTCCCCCACCTCTCATTTCAAAAAATCCTTGATGTCTCGTTTCCCAATGCTAACGGCGCGTTGGCAGTACTCCTGTTTTGTGGAGGGCTGTGAGAGGAAGTGTTTGACTCCACAGAAACGCAGGCTCCACCTCATTGACAAGCACATGTACCCCAGGAATTTTTACTTTGCGGTCACCAAGACGGGAATCGACGGGAGGCGCTCACTACTGGTAGACGGCAATCACGGGAAGGGTCGTCGGCGCGGGGCGTCCACCACATCCAAAACCGACGTCAAGGCCACGAGGCACGCAAGACGAAGATCGAGCCAGACCGACGGGTCCCCGTCCCAAAATGGTAGCCCGGGGCGAGCCAAGAACGGGGACACCACGGCTCCTCCAGGCGCGGATAACAAAATGGACACGGGTGGCCCGGCGAGTAAGGTAGACACGGAGATGGAGGGCCTCGCGGGGGCCATGGCTGCGCTACAGTTCGTTCCTTATAGCATCCGATTCGGGAGGGGCGGAGGCAAAGCTGGCTTCTCCAAGAGGTGAGTTGGGGCCAGGCAGGGGCGGCGTAAAAGTTGGATATTGGGATGGCCGGTTGGTCGGATGAGGTAGGTGGTGTTTAGAGAGCGGTCAAGGGGCGAGGTGACATCACGCATTTCACGAAGACTATGTTCATTAGCGACGACGATCATGAAAATATTTGAACGGTCGATTGAGAAGGATCACTACCTCTTTGCGTCAGCCCGGTGCTTCTCGCACCAATTCTCTCGTAAATCTTTCACGATTGCGCCGCGCCCTGTCGCCAAAAACGCCGGTCCAGCAAAGCTCGAGTGTCGTAGAGGACAAAGAATGATAGAAATAATGTCCCTGTCGTTAATCGCTCGATGCGCATCCTCGACAACCACAGCTGACGCACTGGATTTCTTGCTCCTCCTTCAGTTGGGCCTTAGGGACTCTGCATACGCACGTCGAGTTGAAGTTGGTCTCTTTCGTTTGCACGCACCGGAGGCAGCAGAGCTACGTAGACGCGAGTTGATCCGTCAGCCGTTATCCACATTGCTATGTCCACAAACAAATTCGTGGATGCTCACCTTCTCATAGCCTTGTTTTTTCCACTTCGCGATCAGCATCGCATCCGCGTATCCGTTCTTGAGCAGCCAGTCGTACAGCTTTTTGCTGATGGCCTCTTTCTCGTAGTACAGATCGTACACGTAGCGGCTCCGCGCGTGGGCAATCTGGAAAATTTCCCACTGTGCCTGGTGTTTCGGTCCTGTCGGGGGCGGCTTGTTATGTGCATCTTTCATCTTGTTCTGGAAGATGAGGAGTTGGTCTTCGATGTCTTCGAAGCCTTCTGGAGGCGGCTTGCGCTTCGACGCGTTGCGGATAGGCGGCATTGTTACCGAAGGAGACGCTGGATGTGCAGTAATGGTTCGTTATGAGATGCTGAAATCTTCACAGTTCCGAAGATGGGGAAATCGCGAGCGGGAGCGGAATGTATTCGCGGTGTTGGTGGTAGGTTGGATGTTCAAAGACAAAGTGCACATTGTGGTAGACCCAGGTAAAAGGCTTGGGAAACGTGTGGCGGTGCAAGAAAACGGGTCACGTGATTCTAATCGCTCTCGGACCGACCCAACCCACCTTGGAAGACGCATTGAAGCTCCTCGAAACTGCAACGACGAACCACTCCAAGCAGTCAGCCCGGAACAGCATTGACTGCCCACCATGGCCATCACACCGACGCTATATGCGGTGAGGACTCGCCAGTGTCAGTATCAGCCATTCATCTGGCGCAGAACATCGCTAACCTCCTGAATAGCCGTCAATTGGGCCGACGCCAGGCGACGAGTCCTTCACTCCTACCGAGACTGGATCCGAGCGGTACGCCTTCGCGAACCCCCCGCGAAACCCGAACATCACAGCATTCCCATACCGACGACGGGAAATCCACAAATAAATGTCCGTCATGTGCTGATGAGCGAGTGACGTGCAGGCGCCCGAGATTCAGACCATGTACAACATCCCGCTCCCCATCTCTGTGATCAGGACCCGAATCCGAGAGGAGTTTGAGCGCCACCGGTTCACGCAGAAACTCGCCCTCGTGGACGTGTTGATTTCCAAGAGCAATAACGACTACCAGGTGCGTCGAGCGGAGCCTCTTTGAGGGACCCGATACGTCTTCCCCGCCCAATAGGACTGGGGGCGCTAAATGCGGTTTCTACAGGAGACGATGAACTTTTGGCGCCAGACGACACACATCATGTCGTACTTCAAGGACGAGAACTTCAGAGGAGACGAGAGGCTGCCGAAGAACTTCATGACTGGGTTCTTGGAGGTAAGATGGGAGCCCAACTTGGGAACTATACCATACCTCTCCCCGTCTACGACACTAACAAGATTTCCACACCAGGGTCGCAACTAGGACAGGAGCGTGGATGTGAGGGGTGCCAAGTGTATCTAAGACGAATAGAATCAGACGTGATTACTTTTTTTTTTTTTTGTTTCAACCAAACACCAAGAAACGCCGGTCTAATTTGTTTTGATATCCTGTAACGCCCCAAGATGCAGAGCTGAATGAAGTTTGACGCCGCTCCGCCCTTCAACATCAATCGCGCATCTCATTGAGAAACGCGTCGCGGGTCCTGGAAAATTCCTCGAACATGTGGTCACACATATCCTGCAGATCCTTGAGCCCTTTGGAGAGAGCCGCCACAGCCGTCCCATCTGGCAAGTGTCAGCAGGCGGGTGACGCTCGAAATCGGGTTAACATCTGAGGGAGGACATACCGTAGGTCTGAATCCTAAGGTTCATGAGGGGCTCAGACGGGTGAGGGATGGAGTAGGCGCAAAACTCCACGTCGGGGCTGTACGATGAGTTAGTTCTCCGGAGCGGCTTGTAAGCAGGGTGGATGGGACATACTTCTTCATGATGATATATCTGAGTGCGTTACCCAGGGTGTGATTTTCGTTGCGGAACTCGAATGAGGCAGCTGAGTCGGTAGAGCCGGGAAGCTTTTGTTTCGCATTAGTCTTCGACGATAGGAGTCGCTTTACATTATGATAACGTGAAAGGGGAAGGCGAAGACGTACAATCCTAACCCGCTGTTCACTGTCGTCCTCCTCATCCTCTTCTTCTGGGAACTGCTGCGCATCTTCAAACTCCTCCTCGTTGTCAGGCTGATGTGATGTAGGAGCGCCATCTTCCTCCATCCTCACATCAGCATTTGTTTCTTCATCCGTTCTTCCAGGCATTTTGATTTCGTTATGGTGTTTAGTGGCGAGATTATCTCAGTATCAAAGGCCTGATGGCGACTCATTGTACGGCAGTCGCAAAAAAACGAACTTTGGTGGTGGTCACGTGATTTCTAACGGGTTTCACTACGCCTACAAACCAATAGGACGCCTTCCCCACAGACTGGTCGGTTCGGGTTCCGAAATCCATCGTCACAATTCAGACCAGACATTCTACAGCGATATACATTTAATACCAAGACGTCATAATCAGGCTTGGTCGACATTAGAATCTCCAGCTTGTACTACGTGATGGTATTTCAAACCTGGGCTTACGGAGGTGGCTCGGTCGACGTGGGTGAAGCTGTCTCGAGCCCCAGGATTCAGTCCTTCGTATCCACAGGATGGGAGCAAGCGCTGTGGCACGGTCGCAAGATCGCGGCACTTGGGATGAGACCTGTTGTGACTCGAGCCTGAGAGTGCCCGGTGCTCGTACGCTCGTCCCGAGTCCCTGAAGATGAAATGAAAAAAAATCCCCCCCGCTAGCAGCCGGCAAGACGCATTGTAATGAAGCAGCTCGCCACGGTGCTCAACATTTCCACGATTAAGGTATGAAGTGAGAAGATAAGGCGTGGGATAAGACTTTCATACTCCTTTTCCTTTGCTCTTGTCAGAACTTTCCCGCCTCGGGCTTTCGCGACCTTGCAATTTTGTCGATATGACCGTTCTCATGAAAGGCGGCGTCGCGCGTCGCGTGTTCCACACACGTCACCCACGGAACAGAAATACTCGAACTGTTCCATAACTTTGGTGATCATCATAACGGAAGAAATGGTCGTAGATACGCAACGATATTCGTGCTGCATTAACAGACCGGCCATGGGGTTTCTTCGTTAAACCGGATGAATTGTTGTACCGTGTGTTGCTTTCTGCCTTCACTTGGTAATACTTCGTACTTTGTAATTACTCGCTCAAGAGACGAAGCATCACGTGTGTTGGTTGGGAAGATGGATAATGGGGGTTTATTACTCCGTACTACCTTATCCTCGGACTTGGCCTGGCCGTGGTTGAAAAAAGTTGTTACGCAGCTAAGACATTTGATTGGCTATTAATGTCCAACACGTTTCAGGATAGGGGCAATGGTCAGTTGAGCTGCAACCTCGGCAGGGGAAACGGAAATGGTTTCGCCAAGGAAATGGCTTACAGCAAGTTGCAGGTGAGAACGGTGAGGTGGAGTGGGGGCTCATGTAGGGGGGGTTCAAAACTCACATCCGTACGAAGTAACTCAATCCTTCGCTCCATCTCCCGTCGACCACCAAATCTTCATAGGCGTGGAGGAGCACTTTCGTCGAGGTGTAACTACGTTGTATTCTCTTCTTCCCACTCTTTTCGCTCGAAAGAATACGAATATTGCGCATGTATTTCTACGCCATCCGTATTAGGAGGCGATATCACGACTGGCAGACACTCTGTTAATTAGTTGTTGTTGTACAAACCATCCAGGCACGACATAGCCGAAAGGAGGGAGGGAGACTTGACGGCAGATTGCGGTTCACAACTCGTATCTTGTTCTCAGCAAGTCACCGTTGTGGTCTGGTGGCATAGAGTACGTCATCAACGAAATGCGATCAGGGCATCTGAAATCTGAAATCAGGTTCGACGTAACGTTGGTCAGAGTGGGTTCTCATGTTGCAATGCGCGAAGGGGCGAGTACGAAGTACGATGTATTCGTTGTGCCGGTAAGGTATCTCGATGAAGCTTTTCGCGTTTGGAAGACGTTGCGGCGGAGTACTCGTTGCGGCGGGGCAGAGATCAGAGATCAGAGATCGCCAGGCACGGACCTCGTAATGATCGTCATTCCTGCCCAGCCTTTCAAGTCCCTTGTTGAAAGATTAGACAGGGGCGGCATGGAAACACGGCGGAGGGGTGGGTTGAAGGCAACGTTTCTGGTGAAAGCCGAACGAGACGTTTAGTAACGGTCAGGAGTCAGTATATTCATTAGTTTGGATGAAAGTGAAAGATCGGGCCGCACGTGTTGGTTTCAGCAAAATGAGAATGACAGGATGACGATGACTGGTAAGCATCCGAGCCCGATTCCTGAGCCATACTATCATTTACGTATGTGTCTGCCTAGAGTCTGGCTCAGCCCTCTCGATATACGAAGATTAACGCAGGTCAATATAGGGGTTGCTTGATCCTCGTGCGATAGGACCGTGTCGGCCGCGACCAGTTGAGTATAACGGAAATTACAGGGCCTGGTGACACAGGTCCGACAGCTGACATGTGAGAGCATTGTCTCTTTTCAGCTTCTCGGCGACAAGAAGCATTGCCATTGTACGAAGGACGTGAGAAGCGATGAGTTGTTACTAAGCCAGCTCGTGATATCTGTTTTGGCCAGCAAAACGAACCCTGAGATGAGTACGGTACTCTGTAATACGAAGTAAATCCGTTACGGAACTCCCCAAAAAGCTCACCGTCACCACAACCCGTTGACTCAACGAGCATGCTACATATGCGAGAGCCATCAACTCGTGACGTGGGGGGAGAGGTATATTGCTCCTATATGGCAATATGGCAATGTGATGTATCTGTGGTGGTAAGAGATGTGGAATATATTGGCGTAGTTCCGGTAGTACGAGGTAATTATTAATTGGTTGTGGGAGTACGGATACTCGTCTTTGTCACTTTTGTCGCAGGAGCGACAAGGGGTCCTGAAATCAGAAACGGCGGGAGGGTCTGAAAGTCGTCTGAAGTCTACTGGTGAAGCGCTGGTCGCTCGCTAACATCAAAGTAAAACAGCCTACGGGAGGATAAGGGGTTCACCGTTCATCCTTTGTCCAAACAGTTGACAGCATTCTTTCCCTCTGCACTCCTGATGGAAAATCCCCCTTACCCCACATACCTTACCTTAGTCACCGTTACCCCAACCTCCCCACTCACGGTGTCGCATACCCACCCACTTTCGGAGATCCCATTAAACCAATGCGACCCAACCACGACCACAAGTAGCGATCCGTACTCCATCCAGTAAGGTAATCAATCTTCCTGCCCAGTTCAGCCCAGGTGGCCCCCAATAGGTCTTCATCCTCTGGGCTAGGCTTCACTGACATGTAAGTACAGGGGTGTGTAACCGCCCAAGAACGACGACATTCTTGAGCCAGCCATTGGCATCGTTTCTCACCTTGTCGAGGTCTTGGTCATGCCTAAGGTAGGTACTTCGTATTATTCAGTCCTGAGTTCGAAGTGGGAAGTACTTCGGACGTGGTACAAATACCCTGTACGTACGCATACCCTACAGGACAATCACCGGCAATGTCACTGCACTCAAACGACGAGCCGTTGAAAAATCCCTTGGGGCTGGCTGATCGGCACCACCGAATCAGGTATTTGAACCCCCTCCTTCCCCGAGTCTCCCAAGCTAGAGAGGCAGTCTAGGTAATAAAGTCTGCAAAATTGCGTGAGGTAGTACATGGTAAGAAATACGAAAGGAAACGGGGAGGGGATACGAGAACCAGACACATAGATCCAATAACAGGTCGGAAGAAAGAAAGAAAAAGAAAAAAAAAAGAAGAAGGAATTATTGAAATCTTGAGTACCTTATGGACGTACCCTGTATAATGAGGACTTTGTTACCATACTGTGTATTCTACGTTGTATTGTATTCTGTATCACACTCTCCGCTGCGCTATCCCCTTTTTCATACTGGACAATACTTCATAAAACTCGCTCGAAGAACCCCTCCTTCTACCCAGGGGTCCAAGTCCTGATCCATATTACCTACATAGCTATGTACTTCCTTTCGGTACCGTATGTGCATCTTTGTTCGGATACTCCCCCCTTCTCCGTCCCTTGCCTCGTCCACCCCCCCCTGGCCCCTCCTATCCCGTCCCCTGCCACTGGCCCTGCACGGGACATGCCACGCCGTCAAACAAACACCCCCCTCCTCCTCCCCCTTCTCCCCCCTCTTTGTTTCAAGCGCGTGCTCTTTTTCACTCCATCGGATCCTCCTCCTTCCTCTCCCGTTTCTTCACTTCTCTTTCTTTCGGGTCCTCAGGAAGAACGAGAGAGAAGAAAGTCGACAGGGAGAACGAAGACGACGAGACCACAGGTTGACGAGAACGTCGAATGGTAGTCGATGCGCAGACAGAGCCGACGACACAATTCTTCGGTTGCTTATTCGCCCGCACAGGTCGCCTTAATTACATATATTATCAATAACTAATTGGATCGACGACCACCGTTCGCCTTGGTCCCTAATCAGCCTTTGGAATTTCGAGTACGGCTTGATTGGCGCTATCACGCGACAGCGACTAGCATTTCGCAGACGACAGCGACTTCTCATCAAGAACCTTTTCTTTTTGGTCTTTCGACTTGCCGTCCTGATCCTTCTGTCGGCAGGGTCTTGGCAAAGCGAGCAACAAATCCAAGGAACTTGGAGATCAGTTTCGCCTTTCCACCTCGTCTCGTTGGTTTCGTCGGGGTAGAAGGCGCCAAGGCATTATCGCTCGCCCAATTCACAGCAAAATAACCAAGCAAGGGAAGGAAACGAGGTTGTGATAACAAGCGGAACAAAGGTCCTGAGGGACAGGAAACGAGAAGCCACCCAAACGGCAGCAGCCGCTTTTCCTCCAGGTCATCCGCCGACGAACTGAGGTACGGAGGCCTGAGACATATTTTTGACTGTTTGTTGCGCGCTGGACCGTCTTCTCGGCAGTTGCGTCAGTTCGGCATTTCGGGAATCACGCGTCCGATATTTTTGACCGGCCAGAATCGACTGGAAGAATACTTCCTCGCGACCGCTCCACGACAGCTTTGACGTTCCCAGTGTCGTCGCAGCTAGCAACGAGACAAGGAACACCAAAGGTTGTGTAATTCTCAGAGACACCCAACGGTGTGGTTCGGGAGCTGTCTCGCTCCCATTTTTTTTCTTTTTCTTTTGCAATAACCTGGTCTGGTATCCGCTCGCCGATTACGTCTCAGATTTCGGTTCTTTACGACGTCCAAACGCAGATAATTTTGTTTGTTTGGTCCTTTTTTACACCACATCGAACTTCGTTGGTCTGCCACCCATTATGAGTGCTGCAATCGCCGTGGCTCCGTCGCCAGCACCTTACGACAAGCCAGGTTGCTCCGATTTTCCGCCCCCGCCCTCTCCATCATCACGGAACAGGTCTGCGAATATGGCCACTCAAGCCGCGAACACTTCTCGCACCGACAGCCACAGCCCCAAAGGGAGATCTGGTCCTATATCTTCTCCCCCCAGCTTGTAAGCTTCTCTTCCCCTTCCCGTCGAGCACTCTCTTCGCAGGATGCTAACACGCTTCGTTTCAACCGCAGAAATCGGAATGGCGGCGCTCCCCCCAAGATTTTGGTCAAGAAAGAGCCGCGATCCCCCGAACTCCCTGCGCCCAGGCATCGTCCGAGAAGATTAGACTTGTCGAAGGGCCCAAAACCCAGTTCCAACCAGCCCGGCACTGCTCGTCCGATGACTGCCCGCGAAGGACTCGGCATCCAAGAGGTAGGCATTGCCTGCCTCTCCCCCGGTTTTGTGACCCACGACCCTATCATGCAGGAGCAAGTACAGCGTAGCATGAGCGTGCGGGACCAACAGCGCCACCTCATCGAGCAGAGGCTGCAACAACAGTCGGCAAAGGGAGACGGCCCCGACATGGCCGGCAGAGATCCCGTCTCGCAGTTCGCGGCAAAGACGCCCGGCATGTCTCGACGCAACAAGGCGCCTCCCGGCCTCTCCATCATAGCCCCTTCTGCTCAGCAGTTTGCCCACGAGAGAGTCATCCAGTCTGCCCCGCTGGGTCAGTCGTTTACCGGTCGACACAATCCGCAGCCCCTCACCCGCCATATCACCAACCAGCCCGCCACGCTGTCCAACACCTCACATATCCATCACGTACCCGCCAACCAGACCAAGAACCGACTACCTCCCATCTCGGACGTCTTTGGTCAAGATCTTTCTGGTCACCCGGACAATGCTCCCGTTTCCATTTACCTCGGCGGCACGCCCCGGGGCCCTTTGATGTCGCCGGGCCACCCGCCCCCCGCTATGCAACACCAACAACAACACCAACACCAACAACAAGTGCCACCACCCCCCACCAGACCTAGGGAGTATCAATCCGCCGAAGAAGCCCAAGTCGAACTTGCCGGCGGAAGAACCGAACTGCTACCCAAGATTATCCACTACGGCGGACCATCTCAGCCACCGACGCCGCCCTCTCCCCTGCCGGGGACCAGGGCAGCCGACCCCAGCCAGCCGTCCAGCAGGCGGAGGACGAGAGCGGAGTACGAAGAGGGTGCCAGCCCGCCTCTTGGAAACGGGCCGGCACCTACCCGGAGGGGTCCCTTTGGAGCAGGACGCGACAGCCCCGAGACGCAGAGGGCAAAACGAGACGAGTTCCTTCAGTTGTGCGGGCGTGCCTGGGACCTTTTCCACTCGTGACGATGTCTCGCGGCAAGCAACCCCCGCGGAAATTAACTCGATATTATCGCATGTGGCTGTCAGGGAACGTGACTGTCCAAATCACTACCTGGATGCTTTTCAGACTATCTACACGCTTTGTTCGGAAAACATGGGAGTTGGTCTCGGCGAACATGATCGACCTTTTTTTTTTTTTTCTTTTTTTTTTCCGACCACCTTTTACTGTCTTATGATTCTTGTATAAATTGCGGCCGTGGCGGAGGAGGGTTAGGCCTCTAGTTTTATTATTTGGATTCAACTTTCTTTACAGTCGAAAATCTACGACGATTCCACGATGGCACTGGTTGGCAGACTACAATCTCATCACTGGGCCATGGGGAAGAGATATATTCTATGCCGGGGCGCAACTGGGGCGCAGCATAGGTGTGAGGGACTTGGGCGACGTGTCAGATATACATAGAGAGACGCGAGAGCACTGCCTTTGCTGTCCATATCGATATCCAATGTTTTATTTTTTGGCTCTACACTTTTCTGTCGTCCTCGGCCGATTTTTGGACATCAGGTACGGACAGCGGTTTGGACGATGGTATGGGAAAGGGGACGCCCCAGGCGCATTTCAGAGGAGGAGTGTGGAGCGAGGCGGACTTGGGGCTTCTTCGGGTTGCCGAGTCTCGGCATTGGCGGGGTTGTGTTCTCTTCTCTTTCGGTGCGCTTCTGACATTGTTACATCTTTGATAGATGAGGGGTGTGCATGTTTAAGTGAGATGATGGTTTAGGCGAGAGTGTGGGATTTTGTCAAGGGATGCACGTGGATATATACCATACCCCCTTGTTTTCTTCTTGGGTTCACCTGAGCACTGTAGGTGTTTTAGCATTTACAACTTGACGAGGGCAACCATCGTGCTGTCTCCTGCGCAAGAGCGCCTTTGTTGTGTCTTTGATGATTGTGTTTTGTAGGTGACTTGCTCTAGGACGACATGAGATAGGAGAAGGGGAGGGGGGTTAAAGGGGTCGTTGTGGATAATCAAACGTGTTGAGAATGGTAGATCCAAGGTATCACTTATACATGCGTGTCCTTTTTCTATTGTAGTCCAAAGGGCGTCGTGCGATGGTGAAGCGGAGGACGTTTGAGATAATAGCACTAACAAGTTATTGTAAGTAGAGGTTTATTAAGTTCGTATGTAGATATATGTCTGTATGTGTGCATCTATGGACTTTATCTACCCTCTTCCCAATAGCCCGCGACGCCTTAACTTGACCTTACCCCTTTTCCAATCTCTATTCACTGTTCCGATACACCAAAGTGGAAGCAGAAAAACACAAAGTATCTCTCCAGCCCGATAGCCCCGGCATTCCATTTTTTTATTGCCTATATGATCTGCAATAACACTGTCGTCTTCCCGAACCATCCATCGCGCTTTGTTTCCCAAGACACACAAGTTGATGTTGTTTCACTCCTCGCTTCATGTCTTGGTTCCACCGCTCCGTAGTCCTAAACACACACCAGAGACTATCCCAGTAATGAGGGTTTCTCCAACTTCCAAGAAATGGGGCCGTCGATAGTTCCAAGTAAGATCCTCGAGAACGGGAGGGGATGTCTGTATGTAGGTACGGGTTATGAGGGCATGTGAGGCATACGAAAGGTACAGGGCACGCAAAAAACACGGGGGTGAAGACGGAGACTCCCGCCCGGGATGCCTGACGGAGAAAAAAAAAACGCCTTTGCACGTTGCCATGTCCTTGTGTCAGAAGTCGTTGCTGTCGTCGGCTCTGAGATGAAAAAAGAAAAAGAAAAAAAAAAGAAGAAAAAAATGAAGAAGAAAATGAAGAAGAAAATGAAGAAGAAAATGAAGAAGAAAATGAAGAAGAAAATGAAGAAGAAAATGAAGAAGAAAATGAAGAAGAAAATGAACGAGAAACCGAAAGAGACCACTCTCGACAAATGGACATGGGTCGGTAGAAATGTAACCAAGGGCAATGTAATAACCCCGACCTCTTCTGTTCTGCTAGGAGTAGTGAAGTACTGTGGGCAAAACCTCCACCTCCATCATGATTCGAGAGGCCCCTCCCCTCCCCGTATTTTACAGTCCCTCCTCGCCGGCCTTACAAAGTTTGATTTCGCGGCCCCATTCTGACTTGAGAACTTGAGAGGCTGTGATGCGCCGAGAGGGGCTTGGATCCAAGATGGAGTAGATGACGTTCCGACAGCGTGCCTACAGTTTCATCTTCTAGTTAGCATCGTGCCCGAGGGGAATCTCAAGGTCGAAGGTCCAAGGTCTAGTGGAGAGAGGTGGCCTACCCTTTGCAGCGACTCAATTGGTGCGTAACCCTCCTCGTCGCGCCGACCGGCAAGGTAGCGAGCGTAAAACTCGTCCTCGTCCTTGCGGGCCACGCGCCAGAGATGACGGCCGGTGCGCATAGCCATATAAATGACGCCGCACGCCCAGACATCGACGGCCCGGGCGTCGAACTCCTTATCGATATACTCCTCGGGGGCAATGTAAGGGGCCGAGCCGCACAGGCCCGAGACCATGTGGGGGTCGGTCTCCCAGGCCATGCGGAAACACTCGCCGTTGCCGAAATCGGTGATCTTCAGGGCGCCGCGGGTGGTCAGCAGCAAGTTCTCGGGCTTCAGGTCGCGGTGGGCGACGCCCATCTCGTGCAGGTACTCGACGCCGCGCATCATCTGCTTGAAGAAGCAGTCCGCCTCCTGCACCTCCAGCCGGCCGGCCGACAGCACCAGGGTGTACAGGTCGCCGCCCGCGCAGAACTCCATGACTTCGCAGTAGTCGCCCTTGGCGTCTTTGATGAGGTCGAGCGTGTGGATGACGTTGGGGTGGCGGAGCGACGACGAGATGCAAAACTCGGACGTCAGGCGCTTGCTGAACTTCTTCTCCGACTCCTCGGGCCGGCGGCGGAACTCCTTGACCGCGTAGAGCTTCTCGACGCCGTTTTCCGACTTTTTGTGCGAGATGCGGACAATGCCAAAGGCGCCCCGACCCACGACTTCTTGGCACTTGCCGTACTTCTGAGCCAGGGTAACGGCTGTCGCGTTGGCGCCCTTCTTCTCGGGCGGCACGGCCTCCTTGGCCTCCTTGTCCTCCTCCTCCTTGGCCTCCTCCTTGGCCGTGCCAACCCAATTGGACACGAGCGACAGGTCGTTGTCGGGAATTTCCTGCTTCCTGCCGAGGAGCATGCGCAACATGTCCAACAGCTTCTCTTGCCTCCGACTGGACTTGAGGTGGTGCACATGGCCGCCGGGGGCCTCTGGGTCGAGCGTGAAGCGCTGAGGTTCTTTCGGGGCAGCAGGCTTAGCGGGCTTGAGACTGGCGGTGGCCTTGTCGGCGGTGCTGGTGGAAGGGTTGCGCGGAGGAGGCGAAGGTTTCTTCGAAGGCGGGACGGAGCTGTCTTCGAAGCTCGAAGCGCGAGGGGTTGCGTTCGAGGGGGTAGACCGAGCGCTGTGGGCGAAAATGCGCGCGAACCGTTCTTTCACAGAGGATCGCTCGGCAGGCCTGGGCTGGGGCTCGAAGATCTGGGCCGGAGCGCCGCTGTTGTTGGTCTGGTCATCTTGCGAAATCACAACGGCGGGAGGGTGTCCGACAGAGCCGCCGTGAGAGGACTTCACCGAGGAGGGCTTTGAGCTCGCCGCCGAAGTAGAACCAGAGCCAGAAGCCTGCGCGCTCGACATTTCCTCTGGAGGTTGGGAAAGGAAAAGAAAGTTGAGAAGGTGAGAATGTCAAGTCAACTATGCTTCGGGAGCCTTTGGTGTGTCGACAAAACGCAGCGACAGAGAGCACACGCCAAGGTGGCGAATAGCACTTGTCAGAGACAAATCGAGGGTGTCTCTGCTTGACACGGCATAGGTGAATTGTGTTCTTTGATATCGGGTGAGAAAGTAACTTTGATATGTAAAGACCCTGTCGGTCTGTTACGCCGTGGGAGCTGGTGATGGGGGGCCAGGTGTTATGCCATGTGGGTGATGTCCAAGCTGAAGGCAGGGAAGCTGCGAGTACGTTAATAAGTCCCACGAACCAGCAGGCCGTTAAACTCTGCAAAGGGTTTGCGGTGAACTCTTATTGTGGCGATGACTGACAGTTATTGTCCGGCTTCCGAATAATCGACAATTACTGGTAATTTTCTTCCTTGAACCAGAGAAGCAGAATGATCCTGGCTCGGAGTATGGGTCGGCTATTGTGTGAGGCAAGACCAGACCAGACCAGAGCTCGAGAGGCAAGAGCTATAAGAGGCAGGGAGGAATCGGGAAAATTCAACAATAATGTTGAGCGGGATTTAAGAGAGAATAGACAGGTGTACGGAGTAGATAAGGGGACATAAAAGGGAGATTTTTTTTTTGAAGACCAAAGCTGGTCTGCTAAGGCGTGAGGGGACAAAATGCCCCCAATCCCAAGGGATTACGATGCAAATAGAGTTGAGGCAAAATGTAGGGAGGTGAAATTATATCAAAGTGAAGTTGAGAGGAAGGCCAGGTGGAGGGTTGATTAGAAGTGAACAGAGAAGGACCGGGGGCGAGGGGGTCTGTGTGCCCGGTGCTAAGGTTAAGGTAGTATGGAGCACAGGGCAATGTTAGTAATACTCGGTATGCAACGGCGTATAGGGTAGGTAATAATAAGTACACTCTACACTAGAGGAGGATAAGGGTCCACTGCAAAGTTCACGTCAAGGGTTCCAGGTTGTGGAACAGAAAAGCCACAACTAGGTACAGTGACATTGCAGTGGACTCCAGTGGAGACCGCAGGGTTCTCATGGCTGGATGTCCTTCCTCAAGCTTAGTAATCCATAAACCGACTTCTATCCCGTAAGGTAAGGTAATTACCTTAGCAATGATATGTATCAGTACGTACTCCTCCTCTCTCTCCCGCCTGCAAAGATTCTCGAATTCCAGAACTGACTGTCACTACTCTGCACCTTGGTCAAATTCAAATAATATAAGGTAGACACAGTCATCGTATAATACGTAAGGTACTGCTAAAATTCGTTGAACAAATTTTAGTCTCAGGACAACTTATGCTGGGGCGGCAATAGCGTACCCGTTACTTTCAGGTCCGGGAGGTTCTAGAGGTAACGACCTGTGCACATGTAACCATTATGTAGTGTCAAGAAGGAGGTAGCCTGCCAAGTTTGATGATGACGAATTGCCCAGGGCCGACGCTAATGATTCACACTGTCCAATCAGGCAGCAAACTCCCACAATTTCACAGTGCGTCCCCTGGCAAAAGAGTGATTTGCCAAGAAGATATTTTTTCTAGTCCGCTGCCCAGCCCTGCCAAGAGTGCGGAGGTACTTGCGCATGACTTCAAAGAGGCAAACCATCACCTAATCGGCCATCTGTTTTGACACATCACATCCCACCCGCTCACCTTCAACCATATCATATCACCAAACTCCCGTATTCGTAACCACATCAACCCACACGCATCCCGACATCATCGGTTCCCCAAAGAGAGACTCGACCCCTTTCGAAATTTCCTGCTTCCACGCCAAGGTCTCGGGCCATTTCCAACCAGCTGACGCCCAGCCCGCTACTTCGGGCCGTCTTTATGAGTATTCTCGCTTTGTGATTGCACTGTACACTCTACTCACCTGGCTTCTATCAACTTCGTTTCTCTTGCGTCGTACGATGTAAACAAGTAAACGTGAGTCCGCTAGCCGCTTTCTGACTTTGTTTTTCATACCCGTTATGACTAAATCCTTCTCGGAGTTTGCCCGATTCGCTTAAGGTAAGGTAGTGACTGAGCCTTCGTACTTGGTAGGAACTTTGATATCAAGAGCCGCCGCCTCTCTTCGTGTCTTCGTCACTCAACCTGAATCGACCACCACCACCACCATCACCGCTATTCCTACTTCTTACTCCGTATCCTTCATCCGATCATTGTCCGCCCTCCCCCCTTCGCTAAGAGAGGGAAACGAAAAAGAGAAGACAAACCCCCCCCCCGGTGTCCCAGAGTTTTGGCCTGTGTCAACGGGTAGCAGCATGACTCTTTCACATGCGTAGAGATACGTTGTGTTGGCTAACCTCCATCCCATCGCATCAGTTCATATCAAAAGTCCAAGTCCATGTTCCAGCAAACACTCCAGGAAGACTACCCAGAAACACACACCCTCTAAACGATGAAAGTGCATCCATTCGTACCACCCGTGGACTGAAACCCTCGTGGCAATTTGACCACCTTCCATTGGCCACTGATAGGTGATGCGTCTTATATACCTTATTTGTCTCTCATCACCTGCATCACGACGCAAAGCATGTCGAAATTGCTCATGCATAAAATTGTTTTCACTATATAAAAGATCCGTGAATCACTGCACACCCAAATACTCCCAATCCGCTTGCCTCGTCGTCCAGGGAAAAAGGAACACAGGGAAGTTGGCTTATGCTCATCCCAAACACAAACAGCAAAACTGCATCTGCGCAATCTTTCCCGCTGGAGAAAAACGGTAACCCCTTTAATATTCTGGTTTGTTTGACTTAAACCCCTAGGTCTCGGGCCGGAGAGACACGGCCGCATAGATAAGCGGCCATCTAATTCATGCGGTACCACCCACGATGCAGACTCCCCTATCAGGCCACAGGACAACCCCCTTGCTGGCGTCATTCTTCAACGATGGCTAAATATCAACACGCCCAAAAATACCACCGAGACTTTGATTGTAGGAGTAGCCGGAAAGGAAGAGTGCGGGCGCAAAGACATGAACACGGCATGCATGCTAGGGATCGTTGTGTCTTCATTTCTCATCAAAACCATACTTCCATGCGACCTTCCCCCCCCCGACACTATTACATCCGGGAATCCTCCGACACGCTTTCTCACACACAGCTCTTTCGCGTCGATCGACAATGACAACCCCCCCCACCGTCTCGGGTTCTCGTTCCAGGGACGCGGGCCACGTCATTCACCTACCGTCATGTTCTTCGGCAAACTATCCGCCAGCTTGCCTTCGCCCCTCTGCTGCTGCCCCTCCACGACATCGGAGATGGCCTGGAACGGCTCGCGCTCCTCCACCAACCGGTTGAGGTACAAAGTCGGCCGCCTCGCCCGGCGGGCCATGATGCGTTCGACATCGACCTCGTAGGCGCGGTCGTAGACGTCAAAATCGACGTTTGTGGGGGACTCGGAAACAACGGCATCGACGGGCGGGGCTGGGTTGGCGGCGAAGTCGTCGTTGGCGCCGGTGCCGACGCCTAGGAAGAGGGGTTCCTTTCCTGCCATGAGTTCGGGCGGGGCTCCGGGTTGGTCGCCGTGGCCGTGGCTATGGCCGTCCTTGCTGTGCCGGCTGAGGAACATACGGCGCCGCTCCACGAGGGACTGGATTTCATTGGTCCCGGCCTGCTCTTCGTCGACGCCGGAAGCTTCTTCTTGCCGAGTTCGAGTCTGTAGGTCCCTGGATCGCCTTTTCGGTCCCTCGGTCCTATATCTTGCGAGGATGGCTCGGAACTTCCGAATCGCTTTCATCTGCGGCGCCGATGGTTAAAACGTCAGAATCCTCCTTTGTAGCTCGAGTCGTAAGCAGGACGTACAACGTAGAAGAGATGGTTCATCTTGCGGGTGAAAGCCCGACTTAGCTCCAACTCGTTTGGGGGCTCGACAAGTTGTGCGCAGTTTTCCCCGGCCGGGAGTAAAGGGTCGATGCCGCTCTTCGTCACCCAGGGATGTTCCTAACGAGATGGCGCGTGTCAGCTCCAAAAGCCGTTCCCATGTGGCTAATTCCTTCGCTTCACCAACTCACTCGCAACTCGGCCATCACAATGCGCTTTGCTGGGTCCTTGTCAAGTATCCTGCCGAGGAGATGGACGAACTCGGGGTTCTCATTTTCAGGTATCTCGGGACTGTCGTTCCGGATAGCTTCGTACATCTCCACCACCCCGTAGTGATCAAAGGGTAGGCTTCCGTAGCGTAAGCAGTACAGTGAAACACCCATGGACCAGATGTCGGCGGCTTTGCCCGAGACATCCCCATGCTTGACAACGCACAGTTCGGGGGGTAGGAAGGCGGGCGAGCCGGCCGACTTGGCCGTCATCATCTCGCTGGGTTTTTGAAACATTTCGGATACACCGAAATCGCCAACCTTCAATACATCATCTTCAGTCAGCAGGAGATTGTCGGGCTTGATGTCGCGGTGTATGACGCCTTGGGCATGCACTGGATGTGTATTAGCTGCGGACCGTAGCTTTTACTTTGTACTATCGAAGCGCCGCCTAGAGCCTCAACACGCGAGGAAAACCACTCACAGTACTCAATGCCGAGAATGAGGTCACGGAACCAGCAGCGACAAGACTCCTCGTCGTAAGGCTTGGCGGTCTCGCCGACGCCAACCTTCATGACGACTCCTTTCTTGCACATCTCGAGGACCATCCAGAGGGAGTCCTCTTCGGGGTCGTCGAGGACCTCTATCAACTGGACAAGATTCGGGTGGTTGAGTTTCTTCATGATGGCAATCTCCTCTCTGATGTAGCAGAGCGAGTCGGAGCGGTCCTCGCGGGAGGCGGCTGGCGTGCCGGGAAGACGGTGGGATAGGGGCCCGTTGAGGCCGCCGCCTGGGAAGCCATGGGGACGGCGCGGGCCCTGGCGCATTAAGGTGGAGCGAGCTTGTCTACGTAGACGCATTTTGGAGAACTCTTTCACGGCCTGGAGTACGTTAATCGAGACGGATGGGGAAAAGCATATCGGAGAACCCACGTATTCGGTGCCATACTGGTTGACTGCTAGGTGGACAGCACCGTATGATCCGCGGCCTATCTCCTCTTTGATGATATACTGGTTGATGCGGTGATGATGTGAAGCGTCGTCACCTTCACCGGGATATTCGGTGCGAGCATCAAGGGTTTCCTGGGGGGGGGGCGGGGGGGGAATCATGTTTAGCCATGATTGTGCCCACGATCCCTCGAGACAACACAGCCTCTTGGGCCAGATGCGTCTTGGGAGCGGAGGAAAAGAAAGAGGACAAACAACGAGGATAGTCCATTCACTTACCTTCACTTCACGATGAGCCGAGGGGGTGCGGCGATGGTGGCGTAGGGGGCTGTGGAAGGCCTCGGAAGGGCCAGGGGTTTCCGGTGTACTCGGTTTGTGCCTGCGTTTGGTTCGAACGTTGGAATGGGTTTCGGTAGACGAGCAAAAAAGACGACTTGGAGAAAGGGAAGACGAAGACGGGGCGACTCTATGCAAGAATGCAGACGTAGTAGATGCAGCCCTACCGGCGTCTGTGGCCCGTGGGGCCACCCACCTGCCGTCTTGTCTCCCCTTCTCCTTCACAGACACACGAGTTGACTTACACATGAGGGGTCAACGACGGACGAGAGTCATCGCCATGAAGACCAATGGATATCTCTGGTGATGGCAACAGGGCGGATGTGCCCGAGCCAGTCGCCATGATTGTGAAGTCGGGAGCAGGCAGAAAAACCCGGTGGTTACGATCGCGGGGAGTCGATAAGTCGAAGAAGGGGAAAGAATTGGCGGATGACGACGACGCCAGGCACAGTTGTTAGTTGTTGCTGGTTACTGCGACCAAGGTACGTGGGAGCTCCGTCCTGTTGGTCGAGATCTAAGGCAATATCTGAAGCTCGAGCTCAATAGCATATTCTACCATGGGATATATCGAACGGCGTCCGGGGGAAAGAAGGAAAGAGATAGTCTTTAGACGCGGGGAGGAAATGATGGGTTATGAGGGCGAGGATAAGGATAAGGATTCAGGGTGGTAGGGCTGAGTGAAGTATGGTGTCTTAAGGTAGTGAAGTACCTTACGTTCGAGGTACGGGTGACACCGAAGAGTCGAGGGAAAACCACACCCCACCTTTGTATATATAAGGTACCTTACCTTATGCTGCGGAGTAACTGGCTACCTTAGCGGGTAAGGTAAAATAAACGGAGTACTTCAGCATCTCCGTGCATCTCGGTATCTCCATATCTCGGTGACCTTTTCTTGCCTCGCCTCCGGGTGTTGAATGACATGTCAGCCAACCATGCTCGTTTGAACGGGGAAGACTACGAATAATTATGGTTAAACCTTTCATCAACGGCCTAGATCTCGGGCCTGCGCGCAGTCTCTCTTCCCTTTTCCCGTTTACCTGTGTACCCCGCCAACAGAAACAACACCGAAAACCAAACCCCACCATCCCTCGTGGTCCCACGTCGACAACTCGTACACGTAGTTCAGAAGCAATGTTCTTCTGGAACCCGTGAGCAATATGTATTCTCGCCGAGCTGTTTACCCAACCAACAGCATCCTACCGATTATTTAAATACTACCGGGGCCCCAGATCCCCAGCGTCTGGTCCTTGTCAATCCGCTCGCGTGGACCCAATCCCTAAGGTATGGAAATAGCTGCTCCCACCTGGTTTCAGCTGCAGAGATAATGCACCCCACACTGCACCCTGGCGTGGGCGGAGAAAAGATACCTAGGTACTCTGTAATACGTATAGTCCGTACCGTACAATGCTGTCCCAGACCGAGATCGTGTGAACGCCCGTCCATCGCATCGCGTCGCCGTCTTGCTGTACCGTCCACCCAGTCCACACAAATAATGATTACCACTTATCCGTCGTAATAACCGCTCTACCTCCTTCTACCACCATAGGACACTCCCCACAAATCTCATGATACCACCAAGACCAACGACCCAACGAAAGACCAACCGCCTACAACTCCCCTGAGCTCCTCGAGACTCCCTCCACCGCCGCCTCGTTCGCCGGCGCTCCTCTTTGACCCTTCTCTCCCCCCCTCCCTCTCTCCGCCGCCGACGACCAACCGCCACCATGCCCGTCTACTCTTTCTTCATCTTCGACCGCCACAGTTCGTCGCCAACCCAGCATCACCACTCCTCTTTTCAAAAACCCAAGCCCGCTTCGGAGAAACGAAACGAAACGAAACGAAACAAAACAGAAAGCTAACCCCCCTCACAGCAGAATGCATCTACAGCAAGCACTGGCTCCCGCCGCCCCCAGACCGACCCCTCCCCCCCTCCTCCTTCGGGGCCCAACAACAACAACAACCGCCGGTCCCGTCCTCCCAACCCACGCACCCACCGAGCGCCGCAGCGGCCACGTCCGCCGCGAACGACGCGAAACTCACCTTCGGCGCCGTCTTCTCCCTCCGCAACATGGTCCGCAAGCTCGGCGGCGACGACGACGCCTTCATCTCCTACCGCACCGCCTCCTACAAGCTGCACTACTACGAGACCCCCGCCAACCTCCGCTTCGTCATGCTCACCGACACCGCCTCCCTCAGCATGCGCAACGTCATGCATCAGATTTACATCAATCTTTGGGTTGAGTATGGTGAGTTTCACGTTGCCCGAAAGAAGGGAACCCCCCCCCCCCTTAGAATCCCCCCCAGGTTTCTCCATGGGATCACAAGTGGAGGACGGAGCAATCTGAACGAATCCACTCGAAACGGACACGAGGCAAGCAGTGAGCGATTTCCCCAACGCAAAATGCTGACCGATTTCCGGTTCCTAGTTGTCAAGAATCCCCTCGCGCCAGTGGAACACAAAGGCGGCGCCGGCGTGCGGAACGAGCTCTTCGAATTGGGTCTCGATCAGTTTATACGCGGCCTGATGTGAAGCACCCACGCATCCCACCCCGGCGTACAAGACGTAAAAGGCTTCCCCAGGTCGAAATATGCGGAGGCTGCTCTCTCAACGTCCAGACAGTGGCGGACTTGAACTCCGAGAAAAAAGAAAAAAAGGAAAAAAAGAAGGGAAAAAAATAGACCGACTAATATGTCGCCGAGTACCACGAACCTCGGGCCGGCCTGCTGAGATGCCCTTTGGAAGTAAGGGACTGGCGCCCGGATCGGCGAGTTAGGGGCTCTTAGCCGGCCTCAAGATGGATAGACGCTGTCACATCCCCTGACAGAAAGACTGCAGCGCCCTGTCGCGCTGTGTTGGGCGCAAAAAGGCAAAAGACAAGAGAGCCTCCCAGGCAGGAGGCAACGAAGATCTTGATAGAATAATGGCATGGCATAACTCGGGGAGGCCAAGATGAGGGGTTCGTGGAAGATAATCGTCCGCCAACATGGCGGCCATGAGGCGCTTAATTGATAAGGAATAAATGAAAGAAGAGAAGCAAGCGTTTCCCACCTCGTCATAAGGGCGTATCGTCAGTGCATCAGCCTTCCTAGTAGTAGTACAAAGGACGCTGAAAAGCGCCAAGTTCCAGCCTAACCGCCCCTCGAGTTCATATATGTAAGGTATATATATATATATATGCGTGTATGTTTTTTTATGTAGTCCCCCCTAGGTAAATCGGTCAACTTCGCTCGCCGTCCATAAAGTGGCGTTTATCCCCTTCTATTTCGTCTCCAATGCCCTCCCCCACGCACTCTCGAAATTTTGACTATCCACAACGACGATACTCTCTTCCCCCAAACCACCCGCCACTCCCCCGGATGCCTGCACCTCGCCAGCGGCCCTCAAGCTCACAACCGCCTCGCCGGCCCTCACGTCCGCGCGGCTCCCGCTCCCCGCGAGCGCTCCCTCCTCGTTCATCACCTCGTTCTCCCAGTTGCTCGAGTACACCACAGCGGCGAAGCTCTCGAGGTCAGGCACCCGCTCCATCTCGCTCAGGTACTCATTGGGCATGCCGTTGCCGATGAGGTGGGCCTGGCGCGTCAGGACGGAGAGGATCCGGGGTAGCTGCACGGCCTTGGTTGTCCGCAGGTGCGACGCCTCTTCGGCCTCTTCGGCCTCTTCGGTCTCTTCGGGCGGCAGGATGGTGCCCAGCGGCGCACCCCCGACGAGGATGTCGTCCGTGGAGCGAAGATGGTCCGATGGCCGTGGCGCCGCGTCGGTATCCCCTTGTGGTGGGATTTCGAAAGCCAGGGTAGCCACTCTGTTGTCGACGAGCTCGGAGAATGCCGTGTCGAGGAGGAGGGTCAGAACGTGAGCAAAAGCGGGCGACTCGACGAGATCCGCGGTTTCGTCCAGCAGCCGTCTTAGTGACACGGGGGACCCCTGCTGCGGTTGCGGCGGAGACTGTGCTGAGGCTGAGGCCGAGCCCGAACCCAAGTCGACGGTGCTCCCTTCGACAGCTTCCTCTAGGATGCCGGAGGCGCGGATGACCTCGTCTTCGTCGGCGGGAGAGGGGAGCAGGTAGCCGAGCCAGGCGGGGTTGCGGCGGCGGGCGTCCGGAGTGGCACCCTCGACGCGGCGACGCACTTCGAGGGTCAGCTCGGCGAAGCGTTGGAAGGTCAACAAGTCGCGGGGGCTGAGCTCGCCGAAGACGGCACGGACGGCCCCCTCGACCTTGTCGCGCAGGTCGCTCCAGCCGCGGTTGAGAAGCCACCAGCTGAAGGCGAGGTACTTGCGGTTCGTCTCGAAGTCGTTGCCGTAAGCGTGGACGGGGTTGTCATCGTCGTTGTTCTCAAGGCTGATGGGACCGGATGGAGCGCCGGCGCCACCAGCGGCGAGGGAGATAACGCTGGAGAGGTAGCTGCGGCGGCCGAGAAGGTTGAGTTGAATGCGGGTGAGCATGGTAAGGAGCGCAAGGGTATAGATCAGAGTGAAGGAGCGGGTGACGGCTGCGGGTCCCCAGTCGTATCAGCATACAAGCAGGGGAGAGAAAGGGGAAGACAAGATGCCAAACTAGCGGATGATTTGACTTACAGCTGATAATCAAGTCATGCCATAATTGCCTCTTGGTCTTTCTAGGCTTTTGTGGGAGTTGTTGTTGTTGTTGTTGTTGTTGTTGTTGTTGTTGTTGTTTTTGTTGTTGCTGCTCCTGCTGCTGCTCCTGCTGCTGCGGCTTCTGTACGTCCGTCGCCCTTCCATCTTGCGACCCCTCCTCCTGCTTCACAGGAGGCAGAGAGACCTGACTGGCATGAACACCGCTCTCGCTCAGCACAGTGCTGGCAGCCAGACTGTTCCTCGCGCCGTCGTCTTCAGTGAGGTTTGTATCAGCAATGCTCGGCGCACTTGGGCTCCCCGTGCCAGTGGCAGGACCTTTGTTGGCGCTGCTATGTGCTTTCATAGACTGGATTTCGTACGTGATGGCCTCGGTGTTGAGGGCCTCGAGGATGGCGGCGGTGGTGGAGGGGAGGAGGGCGAGGACGGTGAAGGTGCAGTCCTCCTGGTTCTGCTGGAAACGCCGGCGTAGGTTCTCCTTCGCGATGCGGTCACTGCTCATGCGCTCGCGGGCATCGTTGAGGCGGGTGAGAACATATTGGGTAGCAACGTAACCGGCACCGATGATACCGGCACCGATGGCGAGGGGTGTCCGGTTGCGCTGGAACCAGCGGCGCGTGGCCGCAAACATGACCGCGGCTGGTGCGGTTATTGTTCGTGAGCTCGAAGCTCACACCGACCAGAGGTCTATATCGCGAGGAACTTGTCGGCGTCGACGATCGTTTTGGTCGACAGTCCGTCGTGTGTGTGTGTGTGTGTGTGTGTGTGTGTGTGTGTGTGCAGCTGTAGCTATCCGGTTAGATGGGCAAAATTCAGTCTCTACCCTTATCTGCTTAATGAATCGTCGACTTGGTGACGTCGCTAACACCCGTCCTCTGCTCTGTCGATCCACGATTCAAGGTGTGGTGATGATTTGTTTGGGGAAAGCTGTGTAGCAGTGTGGGTGAGTCTTGTACCGCGTATGTACGTGTAAGGTACGAAGTGACTGCTGCATTGACACCTGGAGTACCGTCTCTTTACCTTACCCGCCCGCAGCTTCCGGTCTTACCTCGGTCCAGCCACATCTAACAGCCGTTGCGTCCACCCGTGCCTGTCTTGTGGCTTCCACCTAAGGTACTCTGTACAAGCCATCCTTTCGTACCGGTAACTCACTGACCTCATTTGACCCCGCTTATCCGTCCTCCGTACGGTTCCCTCGTGGTGCCTCTTCCACCGAGCCTGCCCGCCCCAGGAATGTGCTGAGCCCCTCAGGACCCCTCACCTGATGCACTCACGCCCGCAGTCCATCTAGGGCAGCTCCATCCAAGGTACCTTCTGCTTTCAACGAGCAGAACCCTCCCTCCCTCACTTTGTCGCACGCCATCCTCGCCGTACCGACATGCCTCCACCGTCCAACACCACAAGCATTCGACAATGCGACACGACATGATGGAACAACGCAGTCCTCCCGAATTCATCCTCGATGCCTTCGCCGACCCGGCCTCCGTCCGCGACGTCGTCAAAGGTACGTCCGCTTTTCGTTGCGGTTCGTTTCGTGTCGTTTTCCCTCCCCCAGCTCCGTCGAATATCCCTCGCGAAAGAACAGCGAGTCTGCACATCTCAACCCCGCCAAACGTCATCACGAGCTTTTTGTCGATCGAGGTTCACCACCAGACCCCTTCCCATTGCAGCAGCACACATTAGGCACTCACGCAAAGCAACACACGAATACCCAGACAAATGCGCTTCTCTTCCTTATGACGCAAACTTCCAAAAATCATGAAAACGTGTGAAAAGACGGAAGAAAAGAAACAGAACACATAGCTAACCAAAAGAAACCCCCAAAAAAGGCATCCTCCACACCATCTTCTTCCACCGCTACTTCCCCGCCCTGACCCCGCGCACCCGTCCCGTCCTGGACCTCACCCTCCCCTTCGTCGACGACGTCGAGCTCGAAACCATGATCGAGCAACGCACCACCGCCCTAGCCCGCCAACTCGAGTCCCCCGAACACCAATCCACCACCCCGCCGCGCCCCGGCTCCAGCGGCAGCGGCGGGGGCGGCGGCCGCGGCCAGGTCACCGTCCAATTCTTCGAGAAGAAGCGCCGCAAGGCCTGGCTCGTCGCCCGCGGCGACGACGAGGTCTGCTGGGAGAACTGGACCGTGCGGGTCACCGTCGCCGAGCCCCGGACCGAGAGCGGTAGGTTGTCGTCCCTCCTCTCCTCTCCTTCCCCCTCCCAACCAACGGCTGCTGACGACACGACACACCGCACAACAGAACGAGCCAAAGTCCGCAGGGCAATGGAACAGACCCTCCTCACCACCGTCATGAAGATCGTCACCTACGCCAACGCGCACAAGGACCACATCCCTCCCATCACCGCCCAGGGCTCGAACCCGTTCCCCTACCAGATCAGCCTGAATCACAAGGAGAACACGGGGTGGGCGACACGGATAGGTATATACTGACGATACAACGAACGCCATTGCATCTGTTCCACGACGGGCCTTTTTCTTTCGATAGACGAACGGACTAGCGAACTCGAAGCGGGCGACCTTTTTTTCCATGATTCATCCAAGCGGCCAATTTGGGGGGAGGGTTTTTGTTTTTTAGAAGAAGAGAGTATTCGGGGATTGGGAGGCGAGGGGATGATTACGCTGTGCTTTTCTGAGGGTTCTGACTGCGGCGTTGGGTGCGCTTGTTCAAGTCGAGTTTTGGTCTGAAAGCAGGGCTGAGGGTCCTGCGCCTTGTGTCTTTGTCTGGTTTGGGATCTCCTCATAGACCTCTCATTACCCTCACATCCCTCAAATACATGAAGATACCCACTCGAAGCCATTCTTATATTGCCCATTTCTCTGAATGACAGGTCCGGTGACACCAGGGACGGAGCGCAGATATCAGTCCAAAGACGTGCAAGTCAAGTATATATAGAGCAACAGCAAAATGCTTTACTTTTCTTGTTCAGTCTACCCACCAGCCACGAGCCAAAATGATGCGATGCATCAAGTAAGCTATGAAGAGAGAAAAGGCTGCAGATAGCCTGGATGGCTGCACATCCAAGCAATCAGACCCCCTAGAACCTGGTCTTTTGGGGGAGAAGGGGAGCGATGAAAGTCTATGCGCGGGAAATCCAGCATCGCCCATGAGACCCATAAACTCCTAGTACCAAACCAAACAAAAGGCCAAAAACGACAAGCAAAAACGGAAAAGGTACCGTGACTCGGACCATCATGCTGTAATAAAGACAGTAAGTACCGTACGCGCCCGACCCCTGAGCGGGAGCACGATAGTGTGTACGTAGAGTTGTCCTGAATCTCGCCGTTCCCATCGTCCCGAATTTCCCTAAAACCCTGACCCCCCGCTTGAGCATTCGGTCATTATCATCAGACAAGGAAATGCATAAGGAAACACCCAAAACAGAAAGAAAAAAAAAATTGACGCTATAGCGAGGCAAGACCGCGACGCCACGCGAGTCCAACGCTTCTTCTCTCGTCTCTGCACGCCGCTCAGCTATGCCCATCACACACACATGCAGCCGCTTCGTCATTTTCCCGATCAGGTGTCGGAAACAACACTCAAGACAAGTTGGGTATCTCTTTTCGTAACGTCATAAGTAATGCCAGCGCGCTTATGCCATCAGAAAATACACCAAGTTGGTTCTTTTTTCATCGCTCGCTCGCTGTCCAAGGAGAAGAGAAAAAGAGCGCTTCAGAACCGGGTGCTGTGACTTCGACCCATGGGCCCCTTCTGCTTCTTCTTAGAGGCCTGCGAGCCTGAGCCGATCTTCTCGAACCCCTGACAGATGTCCAGGGGCAAGTTCTCGGCATCCTCGCCCAACAGCTCTGGGCCGTCGAACATGTTGGCGAAGAGATTCCCGGTAGGCAAATCATATGACGCGGGGTTCATATTCGTAGGTGAGGGCACCTTAGACGGCGAGTCGATACCCAAGACCTTGCTTGGCGAGTCCAGCCCGCTGAACACCTTGCTTGGAGTCTCCCATGTGATGTGTGACGGGGTGGGGAGTTTCAACGCAGGCGTAGATGTGATGCCGAGATTGCCGTTGCCGTTGTTGTTGTTGTTGTTGTTGTTGCCGGCGTTACTATTGTTGTTGCCTGTCGAACCGCCGCCATCTGCCGGCCCGAAAACCCACGGGGACCGATCCACACGGTGACGTCTCGCCGACTTCTTGCACGGAGATTCGTACGCTTGTGCGCCGGCGCCGAAAAAAGACTCGTCCATGTCTTGCCAATTATCGAACCCCCCGAAGCTCATGTTATTGTTCAAGTCATATACAGACGTGTCCAGGTTGAAGGCAGGGCTCCATGGCGTGCCTTCCTCGGATATGCCGGTCATCTTGCGAAGAGGAGACTGGAGCATGGCGCGAACCTGATCGCGATGGATCTGTAGATTCGTGTTGGGGGAGGCCGAAGGAGGCGGATTCTGAGGAACCTTCAACTTCATGGCCGGCGTCAAGGGCGGGAGCATCGGCCGCTCTGTGTTACGGAAGGGGGACGACGACGGCGGTGGAAGGGCGTTGTAGGAGCGGCTTTTGCTTGGGCTCTCGTGTGAGGACGCCCGAAGACGGGCGATCTCCAATTCTGCCCGGCCGTCGGGACCCCTTCGGCTTCTCTTAGACCGAGGCCGATCGGCCTCCGAAGTCAGAATGGAGCCCCGTTGGTTCGGTCTCGTGACAGAAGACTCGAGCGAAGAAATATAGCCACTGTCGTCCATCGAGGCAAACCTGCGCTTGTGAGAGCGGTTAATGGACGAGGTCGCCGGGCCACGGGAGGCGGGAGGCGGGGTGTGGCTCCGAGGCGCGATATGGCGAGGTATAGGCGGCGAGGAGTGGATGGCGGCGGGGAGAGGCGAGTGGAGGGAAGGGCCGTCGGGGTCAAGCAGCCTGCCGGCGCCAGCATCCTCGGGAGGGTCGGATATCGGTATGGTGGCGTCGGAGGAAACTTCGGCGGGTATGGTGGCTTGCGAGGTGGGAAGCTGAGGTAGGGGAGCTTGTGCCGTGGCGGCGGGCGGAGGCGGAGGAAGTGTCGGCTCGAAAACGGTTGCGGACTTGGGGCCGGACGGTTCGATCGAGGTGGACATGACGGGGAGGTTTTCGGACGTTGATGTGGGCTTCCGCGGGAGCTTCTGGTTCATGAACTGCTGCTCCATGTCCTTTTGGATAGTCCAGTAGTTGCCCTTTCCGGGATCGTCCTTCGGCCGCTCTACCTTGAGAAAGGCCTTGTGGAGGCTCAGGTTGTGACGGATGCTGTTCTGCCATCCGGCGTCATCGGCCTTGTAGAAGCTAAATGTATCGGAGATCCACTTGTAGATCTGAGCGAGAGTTAGGCGTCGGTTGGGGGAGCGCAAAATAGCCATGCCAATCAACTGTGCATAGCTAAGATTAGGCTTGGTACCGTCGTCGACAGCCGGAGGGAACCAGTCCTGTGGGGGGATGACGGGCTCGTTCGTCTTTGACTTTTTCGCCGGTCTCGCCTGCTTGATAGGAGCAGCTTCCATCAGGGTCCTTTTCCCGGGACCCTTCTGTTGCTGTGGCTGCTGCTGCTGCTGTTGTTGTTGTTGTTGTTGTTGTTGTGGCGGCGGCGGCGCCGGCATGTAGCAGTTGCTGAAAGTCATGATCGGCGGCTGCTGAAGGAAGAAGTGCGGCTCAAGGTTTTCTTTGCCGAAAGCCGGTGCTGGTGCTGCTGGGTCGGCCACAGGCTTCTGAGAGACTGTCTTGAACTTGGACAAGAAAGGTTTCTTCTGGAGCGAATCGGTGTTGCTGCCTTTGGTTGGCGGAGGTGCCATTGTGACCGCGTCGAGCTTGTTATTCTGTGCGGGCGGGAGAGGAGTACGTGGGGAGGACTTTCGGGAAACAGATTTGACGGGAGATTGTGCTGCTGCTGACGACAAGTCTGAGGGGGGGTTGAGGACGACATTGCTGTTGGAAGAACCGAGGGGTCGCTTCGTAGGTCTTGTTACGGGGGGCATGGGTGCGTGGCTCATCATGGGCGTAGTAGTAGAATCGTCAAAGCAATCGTCCTTAAATATGTGAAATGGCTCCTGAGACTTGGGAAGACGCGTTGGGTTGGCCATCTCGGCCGCGCTCGAAAGGGGTTTGTTGGGGGGGTGTATTTGATGAACTATCCGTCAGACTCTATCGCAATGATGAACTGGCACGACACGCGTTAGCTGGGAGGCGAGAAGCAAGCAGCAAGTATAAGTAGTTAGGACGTCCGATGTTGAGAATTGTGAAATGGGATGGACGGGGAAATTCGAGATGAATTCAAAGGGGGAATGGGATCGAGATGGAAAAAGAGAGAAAGGCTCACATAAGGTAGGTTGAGATCTGGCCCGTAAAATGATAGGTGGGCCGCAAAAAGCAAGGGCCCTTTCCGGGTCATGAATGGTGCCTGACTTTTGTCTATACTTTCGACTCGGATTCACGATGCGTCGTCTTGGCCAGGCGATGGACTTTCACGGCTTTGACGCGTATCGGCAAAACGATGGTAAAATGCGACGTCGAGGATAGGCGACACGACAGGGTAGAACGGCCAAAATTCAATAGCAATTGCACGGCCGTGTGTTGTTTTATGTGATGAATATGAATTCGTACAATACAATACCAAGCGAGGATAGGGTCGAGATTGTGGATAGGAAACGCGAAGGAGGTAACGAGTGAAGGTGGTGAAGAGGACAGTGGAGCTGGAAGAAGGTTGCAGGAAGGAGGTTCTAGGCAGGAGGGTAGGGGATGGGACAGCCTTAATGGAGAAGTCGCAACAAAGTTGCAAAGTTGAACGCGGTGGGAGGAGGCGGCAGCGCCTACAAGAATGCTTTCTACGTGTACCTACGTACCTAGGCTCCCCCCCACCCCTGTCGCGAAAGCGACAAATATCAGTCACCCTTCCTTCCCTCCCTTGGAACCTGGGCTGGTCTCGGGTTTACTGGTCATTGGGCTCCACTCCTTTTCGTCCTTTGGGTTTTTCACTGGCTCGCGCTGGTCATGTACCCACTCCCACACATCTAAAGATCCCGGCACCTCCAAGTTACTGGCCTGCAGGACCAAGAGGAAAGGATTGGATGAGGCAGCTGCGGGCTGACACTAATAATAATAAGAGTGACTTGAGAATACCCTTCGTATCGGCATCCGTACTTGTATGGATATCCGTATGACTTTTGCAACATAAGTACCAAATACACAAGGTAGGGGATAGACACGGCGGTCACTGGACAGGACAGTCCTCGGCCTCGATGCAGGGGTTAATTACGTATAGTTTGGGAAGAAAAGATGGTCGATTTTGAAGAGACGGCCCTATAAGGGCTGGCACGGTCCCGCTACGAACAAGAATGCACGAGTCCCAGAGCCGGACGAGACAGGTGACCGGGCCTTGAGAACTGGTGCGACCTAAGGTGTGGTCTGGAAACATGCTCTTCTGTACCGCGTAGCGTACCTTTTAGTTCGGCAAGTTCTCGACAGACAAAAGAATAACGTTCATCGGTCTGAGTGGGTGGGGGTCTACGAACGGGCATTGGATACGGCCAACTTACTTACGGCTTCTTCATGCACGTCCAAATCCAGGATTCACTCACTATACGTTGTACGCCGGTTGGTTGGGGCTGACCAGTCGGCCTAAAGGTTCACCTAAAAAATCGTACAGAGTTTGAAATAAGGGAGGGGAGACTCCCTTGCTGGAAGCCGACCGGACCTGGTTGGCCTCGCTGGTCTTGGATCAAGTCGAGCTCTGATTGTACACTACAAATGGAAATAGGACGGGCGTTCTCGACGTCGATTGACTGATATGCTTACTCCGCCTCAAAACGACAAAGACGATTGAATGTGTGACGCGAGTAAATTTACTCTGTTACTCTGTAACTCTGTACGTGATGCGAACTTTTGAGCGGGGGTTTTTTTTTTTTTTTTGGTTGTACGACGCATGTGCGAAGCCATTGAGAAGCATTTTAAGGTTGTACAGATGCGATAGGGCGCGATAGGGTGTTCCGGAGCAGACTTGAAGAATCGAGGAGAGGACGATGCTGGATGCCTGTTCAGAAGAGCACCAACGCAAAAGTTGCGTTGCGCTACGGGAACAAGCGATCTGCGGTCAATGAATCTATGAGGATAGGGATGATCTCAGACTCTTAGTGGTTTTTGGCCTGGTTGGAGTGTCCGGACGGAGGGAGAATGGAGAGCCGTTCAATGCCAAACGGACGCGCGCCAAACACGTCCGCATCCGGGTCCGCGCAAGGGAGTGGGAGCCCAAGCGATAGGGTGGTCGATCTCCTGGAATTATGCCAATTGTGCAACAAAGAAGCTAAGCCAAAAAGGGAGGAGTGAGAGAATGCAAGCGGCCGAAGACGGAGCAATGCAAGTCGAGTTCTTGGCGAGGGAAGGGAAAGAAGGGAACGGACGGACGGGGCCAGACGGAGGAGACCCAAAAAGCAAGTAATTAATTACAACGTAAAAGGCAAGACTGCCTGAGTATTACCGGTATTATATTATTACGGAGTCATTGCTTCGTAAAATACGTTGTACGGGCGGGTGTGACGTGAGACTCCGGACAAAGTGCGGACGGAGGGAGTGCGAGGTCTTGGAAACCGGCCAGCTCTGTGACGCGTCACGCGTTGGACGTGTCATGGTTGTTTACTCCGCTGGCCAATCAGACTCCGTTCGTTCCTTGTGCCTGACGTGACGACATTGGCGGGTTTACCAATCAACTCGAAACTTCACTAAGGTATTGGAGCTTACCTAATTCGTCTTTTGACCTTATACGGATAGAGTAATTATCCCGTACCTGTATCTTGTCCCATGTCCCCAAGATGAAGATGGGACAAGCAACAGCAGGCATCCTTCCCAACTGCTCGTTCCCTGGTATTGATACCGCCAACTCTTAGGCATCCGCTCACTGTTCTTCCCTCTCACTCTCTCCTTGTCCAGGAATGCAGCCAGACTGGGAAGGCATGGAGAAAGTTCTTCGACGGCCTTTCCACAATGGCAAGGCCGGTCTTACAAGCAGCCCAAGGCTTCCCAACTCGGCTGATGCCCCGGACTTTTACAACCTATGACGACACGGTATGGACGGGCTCTACCGATTACTGAATAGGGAATAGTGCGCACAAGGCATCCACTGAGGTAGTGGTGGGAAAGACCGTGAATCGGGGATCGAACGCAGCTGAACATACAACTACGCTCCACATGCTTTCTCCATCATTCGATCCAAGATATCCAAGATGGGGAGATCGGCGGATCGAACAGACCGGATCTTATCAAGGGCGGTGAACATTGGATCCCTGAATGGCCTTCTTTCCACCTGATGTCGCCTGGGCTTGGAATAGCCCCGATCCTCGAAATCGGGCCTGCAATGACGACGACGACTACCGAACTCGGATCCTCGTCTATCTTGCAGTTCCGTTCCGTTACCTTGGCTTGTGCTATAGTCTATGACGATCAACGGACACCAAACCCAATGCTCTACCTAGGTGCTCTGTTCTGTTCTCAGCAACTAGCCCATTACAGAGTTACCGGTAACGCCGCCGAGGATCTCCGACTGCATCTAATCGGCCTCTTTCACCAAAGCTCTCAAAAGTCACGATTCACCGCACGATGCACGTATTGTACGGATAAATTATCACCTATCAAGCCATCACCATCCATTGGTCCATGCGACCCTCCCCCTCCCCCTCCCCCCTTCTTCGAAGCCCGCCGTTATCATCGCGTCGCGTCGTCGTATCGTTTCCCGCTCCCTTCCCAGAGACAAACAATCCCTGCTTCTTCGCTCACGCATAATGAACTAATAATTACACTAGTTTACCATCAGCCAGCCATCCAGCCAGCCCATGAACAACGCATCTAGCGTAGCCCATTATGAGACCGGCTCCGTGAAAATGGCCAGCTGAACCTCTTTCCGTACCGCACCTTTTCTCTTCCCACCGCTTTCGGCAATCAATCACTTTCGCCATTCGCCACGAATGAAACGTCGGTTTTTTTTGGGGGGTGTCTTCCCGCAGACCCGAGACAATGTTCGCTCCCCTACTACGCCAGACCCCAAGCTGACCCTGTGTGTCCTTTCTCGTCGTGATACGGCGGCAGGCAGATTTGGCAGAAAGTGCACACCGCATCAAGGACGGGCCGTCAGCATGCGTCCATCGAACGGGAGGACTCTCGGTCCTTCGCATTGGACACAAATCTCCGTGCAAGACCTTAAGACTTAATAGCTTACATGGAGAAGAGCCGACGAACGCGGAACCGACCTCTCTACGGTAGATGTAGCTTGTTCGTTCCATGGCCACGTAAAGACACAATACAAACGAAACGAAACGAAACGTCCCAGACCCAAGGCGGCGGCGGCGGCGGCGGTGGGCCGTTTGGGCCAAAGTTTGGGCCGTGAACAACTCACCAAACATGGTTCGCTTGGACGCGCCTAGTTCGGGAAAGGCCCGGCCATCCCCCCCTTGATATACAAGGGTCCGTGTAGCAAATCTCACTCTTCTATAGCAGACGGCGATATAAGCACAGCACCGCTGGGAAGAGAGAAACGGCAAGCTTAACAATGAAAACTGAAGAATGCTTTTACCAAAATGAAAAAGAAAAAAAAAAAGAAACGAAAACAACTACCAAATAGAAACATACAAACATAACACTAACAGACTCGGTGACCTAATTTCGGCCTTCCCTCATCCTTACGTAGCTTTGTCGCAGAGAAGAGAAACCAGACAACCGGGCTCCTTTACAAAACACGTCCTGCCGTGGCCGGCCTGCTCTTATCCTTCGTCTGCGTCTTCTTCAGCGCCTTGCCCAGCTGGATCTCGCCCAGGAACCCCGTAGGTGGTCCGCCCGAGGGTCGAGGGGCAGGCGGTGCGTCACCTCCAGGTGGTGGAGGCGGTGGGGGGAAAGCCCCTGCGCCCGGCATAGGAGGAGGGCCCGGCGGCGGCGGGGGAGGGACCCCAGGGGCAGCCGTCGGAGGCATGGGAGGGGGTGGAGGGGGGGCTGATGTCGGGCCTGGTGGGGGCGGCGGCCCGGGTGGCGGTGGAGGAGGCGACGTGGGCGACTGCGCGTTGGCCGGGCTGGCGGGCGTCGACCCAGACTTGTCGCCCATCGCCGACAGAGGCCGAGGTGGTGCCATGGTTCCGAAGAGGATGGATGCCAGCGCCGCAGCGCTATTGCCGCCCGGTCTGTCGTCATCGGAGTCTTCGTCCTCGTCCTCCTTCTCGGAACCCCAGTCGTCTTCTTCAGGTCGTCGACGTGATACCGGCCCAGTGATGACAGGGACAGGCGCAGGGGCTGGCGCTGATGCTGACGTAGTCTTGGCCTCGTGTGTCATGCGATGGAATGGGTTCGTAGACGCCTCGGGCTGAGGAGGCGGGGGAGGGGGAGAGGGAGGAGCCGCTGGTTCAGATGCAGGTGCCGGTGCTGGTGCGCTGGTACCGTTGGGCTCGGATGACTGCGAAAGCATCCGGAAATAGGGGTTCTTGCTTTCGGTATCCGACGGAGGGCTGGTCACAACGGTCGGGGGAGCCGGGAAGGCGGGCGCCGGAGGGGGGGACGCTGGCTTCCTCTCCAGCTCCTGGCTGCCGATCTGGCTACCCGCCTGCGTGGGCGTCGACGCCTGCGGTGTGAGCCGTTGAGGGCCATCGTCGTCATCGGACGAGCTGTCCTCGTCCTCGAGAGCCTCGAGCTGGCGTTGGAGCTCCAGCTCGCGCTGCCTCGCCGCCTCGATTTCGGCCCGTTGAGCAGCAAGCTTAGCCTCCTTCTCGCGTGCTTCGGCCATGGCCGCCTTCTTCCGGCGCTTCTCTTCCTCCTTCTTGAGTTTGCCCTGCCGGACCTGGTCCTCGAGCGCCTTGAGACGGGCCGCAGCTGCGTTCCTCTCCCTCGAGAGATCATCCTCTTGGTCTCTGGCTTGGGCCCTGTCGTAATTGTTAGCAGACATTTCAAAACAGCAGCACTCAGATACCTGTGATACGTACTCTAACTCCTGCGTAGCACGCTGTTGCTCTTCACGCTCCCTGGCCAAGCGCTCTTCCTCGGCTCTCTTGGCAGCAGCCGCTTCCTCCTGCGCCCTCTGCGCAACTTCGCGTTCAGCCGCCTCCCGCTCTGCCGCCTCCCTTTCGGCCGCCTCATTCCTCCCTCCCTTCCTTGACGGCGGAGGGGGAGGTTTCTTAGAAGCAGCGGCGGGCTCGGCCGTTTCGGTGGCGGGAGGCGGGATGCCTTGTTCCTCAGCCAACCGAGCCTGACGCTCAGCTTCCCTACGAGCATCTTCCTCCTCGGCCTGGCGGAGCTTCGCTGCCCGCTCCGCCCTCTCGCGCTCCATCCTCTGGGCCACGGTCTCCCCCGACTTGGAAGGGGCCTTGATACCCAGAGCCGCCAGCCGTTCCGCCATGCGCTGCTCGGCTTGCTGCTTGATAAAAGCGGCGCGCTCCTCGGGTGTCTTGAACGACGAATAAGAACCGCCCGTAGGAGTCGCCGTTCGGGAGGAAGGCGTCGCCGCCGCCGCCGCCGCCGCCGCAGGACTGGCGATCCGATCAGGCGTTGGTGCGCTAGGCGACGCCTCGACGGCCGGTGACGCCGTCCGCGGGTTGCGTCTATCCTGCGCCCGCAAGCGGGAGGCGCGGCTCGACCTCTGAAGGTCGAAAATGAAGTCTCGGACCTCGTCCTCGACGCCCAGGCCGTCCTCCCAGCGCCGCTTCTCGTGCTCGTTGGTCGAGTCGGCCGCACCCTCCTTGAGGCTGTCTTCAATACCGCGCGCGAAGTCGCGCACCGAGTCCTCCACGTCACGGACCATGCGCTCGTTGGTCTCCTTCTCTGTCCTGACCTTGATGGCTTCTTCCTCGAGCCGCCTCGACGCGGCCTCGTCGTCGAAGGGCGTTTCGATCTTCCTCCCGGTGAGGGCTGCCGTGCGCTGCTGCATCATCGCCTTGGCTCTGGCCTTGATCCTGTCAGACTCGGTAACGGCGCCTCCAGGTCCGGTGCCGACGATGGCAGGCGCACTGCCCGGGTTGGCCTTGGCGTCTCTCAGTCGGAAAAGCTCCAAGCGTGCATCGTGCATGGCCTTTTCCGTCTGTCGGACTTGGGAAGCCAGCTGGGGGATCCTGTCCGTCAGCTTCTGCAACTGACGTTTGAGTGCACGTCGCTCGGCGTCAGAGTCGCCCGTGGCAAGAGAAGCATCCGGATGCGCGTCAATGTCCTCTTGGATGCGTCGGATGCGACGGTAAAGGTCCTCAGCTTCTCGTCGGTCACGGCGGTCGAGCATGTCCTCCTCCTCGATGGCCTTCTCATCATTGAAATCCATGGCATCCAAAAGGACCTGTTTTTCCCGGATTTTCTTCTTGAGCTGCTCAATGCTGAGATCATCGGTGGACGACGCCACCGAGGCTGGGGAGTCGGGACGTGGAGAGCTGTTCCCGAGGCGTCGCCGGGCGCTGGACTTGTAGCCAACCTCGTCGTCATTGTTCTTGAATACGGTTGCATCCTTGCGACCAGTGCCGGCAAGATTATTGTCCCTCAACGATCGGCTCTTCATGTAGCTCACGCCCGTCTTCTGGGGCAGGAGGGCGGCGCCCGACCTGCTGCGCATGTCCGACTCGTGGCTGAGCATAGACTTGATGGTGCCGATGGAGGCGTTCAGGTTCTTAGTCGACGGCGGCACGAGCTCGGGGGGCAAGGTGTTCGGAATGGGGTAGCCATTGAGCTTGCGATAGATCAAATGCATGGCCACGGCGAACTCGTCGAGGTCGAGACGACCCTTATTGCCGCTATCAGAAAGCGTCCAAACGCGCTCGAGATCGGTTTTATCAAGTCCACTTTGTCCGAAGATCTCAATTGCCTGGCTACCGGCGATGAAGCCCTTGCCGAGGCCATCCCAGGCCCTGAACAAGTCGTCGTATCTCTTCTTCTCCTCCTTTGTGATGGCCCAAGGAATAACCGCATTGCCCTGGAGACCAGCAGTCGTGTAAGTATGCTGTTCGCGGCCCTGCTGCGGCATCATTCTTGCGTGGAGCGCGTCAATGTTAGGGAGACCGGATGCCGGGGCATTCACGAGGCCCCATTGACCAGGTCGGCCGGTCGGCTGGGCATTCAGAGGCACAGTCATAGTAGCTTGTCCCATGCCCGTCGGCATCGGGGGCATGGGGGGTCGCGGACCGGCGTATCCCGTGGGCTGGGGGTTCTGCATCGTGGGAAATCCAGTCTGTTGCGGTTGCAGGGACTGGTTGGGTCCAAGAAATCCTCCCTGTTGCTGCTGGCCAGGGAAACCAGTCATCTGCGCCTGCAGGATTTGGGAGTTGGACGGCTGCGGCTGGGGTTGGTGGATGACAGGAGGAGACGCAGCGCTCTGCCGTCCAGTGAGGTCAGGCGCATTGCTCGCCGGAGTTGCCCCTGCCTCGTCCGTGATGCTGAAGTTGATGATGTCGACCATGCTTGACACTTCGTTCTGGATATGTTCCGGCAGGCTCGACGGCAGGCCCTTGCCCGTAAGCTTCAAGTTGCAAAGGTACATGGCGAGAGCGAACTCGGGGAAGTGAAGCTGACCGGACCGAGTGGTATCAGACAAAGTCCTGGTGAGAAGATGGAAGTTAGCAACCGGGGGTAAAGAAGACCATGTGCATGTGACTCGACCAAAAGAAAAGGAGGAGAAGGGAAGAAAGAAAGAAAGAAACGGGGCTCACCAAATGTGAGAGAGAGAGTCGCCATCTAAACGGGACCTCAACAATAGGTCTCTAGCTTTCTCTCCAGACATAGTAGTGGAGTCATCCCCCACGGCAGACTTGAACAAAGTCTCAAACTTGGCCTGGTCCTGGGCGTTGATAAAGGATAGCCGGACATTGGGGATCTTGTTCGCCTTTCTCTTCGGCGCCGGCCGGGATTGAGGCGCACTCTGTCCAGTCTGAAATGAGGCGGCCATCTGTTGGAATCCCGTAGGCTGCGGCTTCACCGGCTGAGACGGCTGAGACGGCTGCGGAGGAGCAAAAGCACCAACGGTAGGTTGCGGGGACGACTGCGGCTGCTGCTGCTGTTGCTGTTGTTGTTGCTGCTGTTGCGCAAACTGCTGCTGAAACTGGGAGGGGACCGCGGGCATTGGAGGAACGCCGGTCTGGAAGCTCTGTTGCGGTTGCGCCTGGCCAGGGAAGCCCGTGAATTGAGGTTGCTGCTGGGACGCCTGGCCCGGATATCCGGTGAACTGTTGTTGCAACGGAGGTTGAGCGAAGGGGCCAGGTTGCAGCTGTCCCGGCTGTCCTTGTCCCGTGGTATTGAAAGAGCCGCCATATTGAGGTAGGCCTGGCCGTTGATTGTTGTTGCCGCCCAAGAAGGCGTTCGAGTTCGAGTACATGGCGGGCGGCGGGCGGCGGGCCGAAGTTGGCTTCTGAGGTCGCGCTGTGAGACAAGACCACCGGGGAGGTGATGACGCTTTGATGTCACGCCAGGGAAACGAAACAGCAAACGAATCGCCAGGAGAGAGAGTAAAGAGGGGTTATCGAAGGTAGAGGAGAATTATTCCACCCACAATATTGGATTAAAGAATGGAGGGGGATAAGATGTTGCTGGAGCAGCAATGACTGCGAAGCCTTGTGGGTGACGAAGCTTCGCACTCGGATATCTGTCCAGGTAGGTTCCTGCTGATGTCTGGGAGAGAGTGGAGGAGATTGGATTGCGAACTCTGTAGCTGGTTGGCTGGTTGGAGTAATAATTACTGGAGCCTGGACACAGTATCTGGATACTGTGAGCCCCCAAGCCTACGGAGGTACCCCTGAGCTACCGTACCGTAAGATTTAGTGGACTGCTCCTCGTATGGGTACGGACTACTTTTACACTGTACGTACACGTACGGAAGATCTACACTAAGGTATTTACGTTTGCAATTCGTCATTGTGCAGTTTTGTGCTTCGATTACTAAAGCATAGAAACCTCCACATTCGTACATTGTACGCAGTATCCATACAACCTACATCATTCATCCAACGGCTGCGATAGAACCAACTTCTTCACAGAAAAGCATCGTTCAAACCAACCAACACTTCATATTTGATAAAAGGGTATCGTGTGCTACGCTGTGCGACCCCGAACAATAGCCTCTACCAACTCCAAGCATATATGCCACAAAACTTTTATCCTCTTACAAAGTTACATGCCTGACTTGAACAGTCGCCGTTCCCCTATTCCCCTTGCTTGTTCACAGCAAAATTGTTCCTCTGGGTTGACACACCTTTAAGCCAGTGTGCACTTCGCCCCCTCATCCCACTACGGGGGTATTTGGTGACCATCGGACGACATGGCCCCTGTTCGTAAGCCGAGACCATTCGTACTTCAGGGAGACTCGTCAGAGACGGCCCATTCTGGCGGAGTGTAAAGGCTCGAGAAAAGATCCGTTACGTCGATCACAGGGCTGTCCAATACTTTATCGCCCGATACGTGATGTGGTGCCGTTCCAATGCTGTCGCCCTGGGCCGTACCAACTGATTCCGCCGGGGGCGGAGGCGTCCATGGCCTGGTCATCTCTTCACCCTCTTCAGTCTCCTTCCGGCTATCGGCCGCAGCCTCCGTAGTCTGGGCCTGCTTCTTGCCGCGGTCGACAGTAGCAAGCCCGCCAAACAAGGTCGGTAGGTCGTCGATAATGCCATGAGAACCGTAACCGTAACCGTAACCGTAACCGTAACCGTGCCCAGTTCCTAGGGACGACCGCGGCAGGGCCTTCTTAGCTGCTGCTGCCGCGACTCTGTTCCTCTCCAGGATTCTCTCGATCTGGTCCAGCTTGGCCGTCCACGCTCCGCGCAGCTCCTGCAGAAGCATCATCCTCTCATCGTTGCCAAGGCCCGCGGGTCTCGCCGCATGCTTAGACGACAGTCGACGTCGCAGCCCCGGCTTAACGGTGGCTACTTCGACGCTTTCCATGCTGGTTCGGATGGCGCGGTCGAGCTCGTGCTGAGAGAAAGGTAGGAACTCGTGGATAGACGTATTCCGTTCCAGGCTCCTCGTCATGTGCGTCAAGTTCGACAAGTTGAACCCGTTGTCATGGACGTCGAGTGTCCGAAGGGTCGCGTTCGTAGAAATGGCCGAGGCCAAGTCTCCGACGTTCATGTTAAGTTTCTGGTTGCGGATTCGCAAATGTCGGAGCGATCTGTTCTGGGCTAGTCCTGCCAGGGCACGTGAGAAGCCGAGTCCCAGCTGGCCCTCGTCCAGCTTGGCCGAATACCCGGAGAAATCCAAGCACCGGAGGGCGGTGTTGGTGGCGAAGAGATCTGACACCGCTGCACAGGCTTCCTCGCTGACCTGACCAGGGGTTGCTGTGCCCACGAGACTCAACAGGGATATGGTCTTGTTAACGGCCAGAGCCCTGATCATCTTGATGAAGTCGACCTCGTCCCGGTATTCGATCATGTCCATGAACAATGCTTTTGGCCCAAAGTTGCAGGCAACGGCGCTCGCCAAATCATTACCACCGGTTTCCATAGGGTTGCCGCTTACATAGCAGACCAACTCACGGTTCTGTCCCATGCTGCGGAAGAGCATCGCCACATCCGAACCGTTTATACCGCAGTTGTTGAGGTGCAGGCTCTTCAAATTCTGGGACGCCGGCGAGGACAGGTAGGTGGCCAGCACTCTGATGGTCTCTTCACTCAGCTGCCCGGATGTCAGCGACCATTGACCTACATCCGGTCTCTCCCAGGAGAGGAACTTACTCTGACGTCTGAAAGGTCCAACTCCTCGAGGGACCACTTCGTTGTCGTTTCGTCGTAGAATAGAAAGTCAGTATACCGGCCCAGACAGTTGCCTGCGATTTTGAGACTCCGCAGACTAGTGAAGTGCACGAGACTGTCTCGAACAACCGAGTAGTCGATACTGCCAGAATTGTGAGACGTGTTGAGGACTTCCATGCTCAGTCCCTGGTGTTGAAGTGCGTCCCAAATATCCTCCAGGCTACTCTCGTCGAGGCGGCATCGGGAAATATCCAGATGGCTGATTGTGCCAGGAATGGCCAGTGCTGATACTACACACAACTGGTCAGTCACTGTAGCAGGGCGTCTCGGGGGCCGCGCGGGACCGTACCTAGGTCGTCCACCTCAGCAGTAGTCAGAGGATTGCCACCGAGGAGCAACGTATCGAGGGGGGTGTTTCGTGTTTTCAAGAGCAGGAAAAGCGGCCTCGCTATTTCTTGTTCGATGCTGACACCGGATCGGACGTTCGATGGATCGCACCAGGAAGACAAGACATCTGTCAGATCAATCTTCCTGATAGAGCCCGAGGAAAAAGCCATTGCGTGAATCTCCCGGGATAATATTGGTGCGGCCTTCAGGATGTCCCGATGGACGCTGTCAATGACCAATCCTGCGTCGTATTAGCATGTCAAAAGAAAATCAAACAATGCTTCTCCAGAGGTTTCCCCACGAAAGAGCGGACGAGGACAGGGCACACACCGTTACGGGATACGTCTGCCACGGAGTCGGAGAAACGGGGTGAATCGAACCAGCCACAGAGCGGCCTAAAATCGACGCCCCTGAATGACAACGACTGGAAGTAATCATTGTAACGAAGGGCTTTGAAGACGGCAAGCAGTTGAAACCGAGTATAGCCACCGGCCACTCTGGGACGGACGAGTCGAAACTCGGGGTTGTATTCCTGCTTTTGGCATTTCCAGCTCACCGTCCACTCGGGAGATTCGCAGCCGTACGTCGCGCAGTAGGCTTCGAGCGTCCTCCGGAACCCGCCAAAGTCTTCCCCCAAAGGAAGATACAGCTGGGGAGTGAGACCTTGGACCTTGAAGATGTCGTGTTGAAGATGCTGAGGCCACGCTGGTTTAACAATACGATCTGCCTTCATGAAAGTCGCGACAATCTCTCTGTACCATCGGCTGGCCAGTTCAAGACGCTTTTCGGACTCGCCGGGCATGCTAGAAGATATATCCGTTAGTAAGGGGTATTCTGGGTCAAGGCGAACCGCCTGGAATTAGGGGAGCGCCATGTCTCACCGAAATCCAAGAGCGAATCGGTCGTCATGGGAAATCAGGGTCGCCCTGAAACGGATGAGAGAAGTGAGACCGAACGCCACGTAGGTCATGTCAAGGTCTTCGGGGAGTTTGTGCACCGAAGTCTTGGGTACACACACTAGATAGCACATATTGATCCCGAGCAGCAGATAATACGACGGGGCGTCCCTCCACTTCTTTCCGAAATCATAGCTCTCAGTATTTGCACGCGAAGGTAGAGTCTGTACGACCGGGAATATGCCGAGAGGGCCACCATAATAACCCGGCTCTTCTTCTGCGACGATTTGGCGGATCCGGGACTCGACATTGGGGGCAATGAGGCCTACGGGCACGGAGGACGTTCCCAGGAGTTCCCTGACGGCACGGCGAATATCTGACATCCACAGGTCCCTCTCTTGCGGCAATCCGAAGAGAAGCTTCACGTGGGCCCATGCGACAGTCGGGGGAGCTTCAGACCACCATACATCTAGTGCAAAATGCGGACTCAACCCTTCGTCGTTGGATATTTCGATAATTCGGCCGAGGGGAATCTCTACCCTTTTCTCGGACGGTCCGGCCTCGTGGTTCAACGAAGAAACAGTGGAGGACCTACTCAATCGGTTTGGGGGGGCGCCACCAATGGTGGGAAAGATTGATCTCGCGGCATCGACGGTGGAAAAGACGAGGAGGCAGGCATCGGTAAGAACGAGGTAGTCAGCACGGGCTTTGCGAAGTCTAGCATCGATCTTGAGGGGCCCGTGTTTGAGCACTGTCATGGAGGCGAATTTCACAGACTCGTCCGAAGTCTGTGAGCTCGCCATGGAGTCTTTCGACGCCCGGCGGCTGATTCGGCGAAAGATGGACGAACTATTCATCGTAGGGGTCTTCTGAAGCACTCGACGCGGTGGCGGTGTATTGGCGCCAGAGCGTGAATCGCCATTGTCCGAGAGATCGAAAGACGAGCGAGAGGATATACTGAAGCTTCTTATTTTCTTGCTAATGAAGCTCGCACGCTTCCTGGTGGCAGTCGGGCTCGTTGGGAGGTCGAGTTCGAGCGGGCTTCCAAGGCTACCATCTCTTCGGTGGACGTTCGTCTGCAACGGCGGCAGCGCGGGTCGGAAGGTGACAACGGATTCCATATCCACGGGCGCTGAGGCTTTGCGGTGGGGAAGTCGGAGCGTGGAAACAGTGACAATGCTCCCTTGAGGGTTCGTCCTAGGACGCTGGGCTATGGTCGAACCCTTCAGGCCGATATAGGTCAGAGAAGAAGGTCAGGCCATCTGGGTGGTTGATGACCTGGCGAGACTGGTGAGATGGAGCGAGGCTATCCCGAGATGTAGCAACCCAGCACCCGGGAGAATGTGGTAGAAAGGCGAGAGTAGTGCAGCAAGAATGTTTGCTTTACCTTAAGGTGTTCCGCAAAAGAGAGGACAAAAGCAAAGGAGAGACACCCACAACCGAAGAGGGTCAATTGAACACACGAAAGTGGAAAGGTTGAAGGGTTGAATCGGCGGAGAGACCTGGGGAAATCTCACCCCTCCCTTCCTATCTGAGGATCCATTCTTCAGGGCTGGCAATAAGGCGAAGGCTCCGAGGCAGGCGTGCGTGGGATGTTGGGATGGAATGATGATGCATTTGTTGCAGGGATGAGAGGAGCTGTGGTCCACCGTCCTGTTGATGCAGGTATGAAATCATTGACACCACAAACCTGTCGGTTTTAGTGGTACGAGCCTCCTGTAGCTCAGTGGGTCAACGGCGGGCCCGCAGCCAATGAGGCATTGCGACACTGACGTGGGGCAGTGAATTTTCCGGCCGAGATGATGAAACGGCCAATGAGAAGTGAGAATCGGCCCAGGACGCCATTTCACGTCCGATAAACACGACGCTCTCGGTCAGATCGCTCTAAGGAGTCTAAGCCACCCGAATAGCTAGCCCACAACGCGCCAGGAGCACTACACTACGACACTACGGAGTACGATGCTCCATAATTAGATTCGATCCGTAGGCGGTTTGTGCTTCCTACATACGTGATCCTAGTAAGAAAGGCATCGTTCAACTTTGATGAATATGATGCGATATTTTTGCGGAACAAATGGCGGTTTGACCTCCGATTTAAGAGAGGGAAAACGTTGAAGTGGCCAGATGAAAGGAGGAAACCCTCCGGCGTTGCTCACACTGCTTGGCGAAAGGATCAATTTGCTCTTATCGTCTCAATAATTACGGGGCGTACGGTGAACAGTCATTAATTACGCTAACTCTAGTGACTCTACGTCGTAAGAACCTTTGGACCACCGGATCCGGATACGAAGTGTCAGCGTCGTTTGAGTCGGAGCTAGGTACTAAGCACGGATGCTTACTTCGCATGGTCACGATGTAATACGGAGTAGCACGCTGCACTTTTCCCTCGTCGTCTCCTTCTCTTCGCTTTCTCTGCTTCTCCTGCTTCGAATTCACACAGTCGTCGTGCGGTCGCGTCCCCACGTTGTTTGAGGTGTGCCACGTGCCATGCCATCCATGCATGCATTACCTAAGCCATGACTGACAAGATCGATGACCGTCGAGATTGAGGCCCCTGTCGGGGAAAAGAAAAGAAAAGGAAAGACAAAATACGGTATCAACCCCCCACACGAAGTTCACTCTGATTTGATCTTTTGGTGGTGCACGTTGCTGGTATCGCATGTCAAAATAGCACTTGTATGATTAACTTAAATAGAGCAGAAATCTCGTGTGTGTGTGTAGTATATTAAGTTATATCTATGGGAGTCTCTTATGCCCTTAATTTAGGTGGTAAAGACTCTATTGTAGGTACTATATTATTTAGATCCTATCCGGTCTTTTCCGGTATCCGCGCCTATTATATCCTAATACATAAGGTCCCCGTGTCGCACGTTAAAATGGCACTTATATAATTAACTTAGTAGAGCAGAAATCTCGTGTGTGTGTATTATATTAAGTTATATCTATGTGAGTCTCTTATGCCCTTAATTTGGGTGGTGAAGACTCTATTATAGGTACTATATCATTTAGATTCTATCCGATCTTTTCCAGTATCCTCCCTTATTATATCCTAATACCTAAGGTCCCCGAGATCTAAAGCCCTTAGTTACGCATAGATCCTCTAAGGACCACGTCGTGGTCCGTATATATTAGGTGTAGGATATAAGGAAGACTTAGGAGGTACCAGGATATAGCAGTGGACTACCGGCTGACTGATAAGTGGATATCTATTATATAAGACGGAGAGCTGGATTATTCCGGAAGGAAGGGGTCAGCGATTATCTCTCCTCTACACTACTACCTACCTTTAAGATACTCTTCCTATTAACCACAAGTTAACCTATAGTTAGCCTCCCCTTATATAAGACTACGATCCATATCTATTACTCCCTATCACTCTTTAGTCCTTATCCCTTCGGGGTAGACCTGAATCTCCTTCTTAATAAGATAATCGCTCTAAAAGCGGATAGCGACTATTAGGCAGGATTCGGTATATCTAGGACCTAATAGTCGAATAACGATCGGCCACTAGAGGCTTAGTCCGACGATAGTATTCGTATTTATATTAGCGATCCTTAGCCTAATTGAGTATCTTTATCGTTAGCGGCCGAATAGCTAACTAACTATAACTCTACTATTAATAGCACTACTCGGCTATAGATAGTTAGCAGTATAAGCAGCGTTATTAGTCTTTAACCTGAGTTTTAATTAAATTTTCCTCCTAGCCCTATAATCTCGGAGAATACCCTGATTCCACCTTATATATCCGGTGCTATAGATATAGATATAGATTAACCATAGACTAGCTTATTATCGTATAAGACTATAATAGGTATTAACCTAAAGTAGCTATATACGGAAGGTTAATAAGATTAAGAGAATCGTTTACCTTTAATTTTATATTCCCGACCCTAATTACCAGTTAAACTGTAGTTACCTAGCCTTAGGGAGCTAGAAGATCTATTAGCTAAAGAGAATATACAGCTTAAATAAGAGAAATAAGAATAGCAGGCTTATAAATAAAAGCGCTAGCGTTAACGATAGCTATACGATTAATTAAAAAATATTTAGTAATAATATACCGATAATATAACCGCTATTTAATAGTAAGCGGATAATACTAATAATTTAAGTTAGGCGACTATATATTTATATTCCCTACCCCTAACTCCTAGTAATTCAGCTATACTCCCGCCTAAAACGCCTATAGTATCTAGTCAGGTTCTACAGCCTTACTAACCTATTTAAAATTATTAACTTAGTCCTGTCTAGATAGCCGCTACCCTATAGCCGACTATTTCGGAGAACCCTGCTTTTTCGAAACTTAATATACTAAATGCCTATTTTTCCGCTACTTTATAGGCTTAATATAAATCTTTTATTACGCAGATATAATAGATTCGTATTATTAACCCTACTCTTAACGATAACACTAACCGTATTATTTTTACTATATAGTGCCTTATACCCTCCTTATGATAGGATTATAACTTAGAAGTCGACCGATAATAGCTTAACGGTAGGCTATCTTAAGACGAATTTTTAGCTTAGCTCCGCGATTAGATACTAGATAATAATACTTAAGTTTTACGGGCGGTTTAACGTATATTCTATAAGGACTTATAGCAGAGTCCCCGTTAATCTTACGATAAATTTAAAGCTAAGTAGCGATTACTCGAATCCGAGCTCCTTATTCCCTTACCGGAGATTATTGGTATTACTTCTATAATTATAAAATTATAAGATAATTTACGCCTTTAGATTATACTAGGCGGCTTACCTATAACGTATCGTAAATTAGATTAATAGGCTAAATAGGCTAAATTAATTCTTACTAAAAGTAGTAAATACGTAGTTAACTACTAGTCGCGTAATAATTATTCTTAACGTTACGGTCGTAATAACGACTTCCGGGGAACTAAGCGTTCCTATAATTACGCTACTAATATCACCACTACCTAATAGCAGAACACTTAGCCCACTTCCGTACCTTTAATTTATTATCCTATTAGTAAGATTACTTATTTTAAATATCGTGCGAAGGGCTATTACGCTAATACTTACCCGTAAAGATATTCTTTTTTATCTAACTAATAGCAGACTATTAATAATCTAACTAAACCTCCTCCTACTACTAGCTCTAGTACTATCCCTATCCCTGCCCGTATTATAGAGTTATATAATAATAACGATTAGGAACTATCCCCGCTATAGCTAAGCACTACTAGCTTTACTATAAAGGTTAAAGTTAGTCTACGGCAGGGTAAAGAATAGATTAAGATCCTAGCTTTACTTAATAGTGGTATAGAATTTAGTCTAATTAACTATTCTTTTTTAGTAGCTATTAGCGGCTTAGCGGCTAGCCTAATATAAAATCTCTCTTAGACTTTAGGTGGAGCCGATATCCAGATTCGGACTTACGGCACTACTATTATACTTTTTAAGGCGACCTATAGTTAGTCGGTTACTAAACTATAGAAGGAGGAATTTCGAATTATTAATATTAATATAAATATAAAATATAAAATTATTCTAAGCGGCACTTAGCTCTACGCCGTTAATCCTACTATTAACTAATGGACTAATAAGTGGATCTACTCTTTATCCCCCGATTATTTTTCTCTTATCCTTATACCGAAGCAGATTCGTTCGGCTAAACGTAACACGCGTTATACTATTATTTTATCTATAAACGAATATCTTTCTTCTTTACCACGGATTAGCAGAGTTATATTATCGGCTATATAATAAGAGGAGCCTAGTAATCCAACCGTTAATTGTGATATTCCTCCCTATTTATATAATATTCCCACTATTTATTATAAGTTTAAAGATATTTTTAATATCGATTAAGCAGCGTTACTTCCTAGTTACTAATAATAGGATTATACTATTTAACTAGAGGATAATAAATACCTACTATTTAGACTAATTTACTCTCTATCTAATACTAAGCTATAAGTCCTCCGCGAATATCTTACTAATACTTTAGGTAATCAGTGGATATAACTCTCTAGTAGTCTAGCTAGCGCCCCCGTAGTATTTATTCTAAAGAAAAATAGTAAGTTACGTTTATATATCGATTACTATACTCTTAATAAGATTACTAGGAAGGATTATACTCCGTTACCGTTAATTAGCG